TTTAGAGTTGAGACAAAGAAATCTGTACTATGAAATACAGGTATGCGAGCGCTATATGCCGACAAAGCTTTAAACGATACATTCATTGAACAGTACCATTACTTGCTTAGAGGGGTTGCAGACTTTTTGGAGTGCTAGGGTCCTGAGACGAACCGTCAAGAGAACGGTTTTGCAGAGTAGAATTAAAATTAGCATAAGAATAAATCATACACAACACATTGTGAAGTAGTTACATTATTCAAAGAAGCTTCCGAATGTTTAGCACTATGTCCTACTATGAGCCAGAGGGATAATGTAATCTTCCTTCACCCTGTTAGTAGCACTGTGTCTAAATGAAAGTAGGGAGTTTACTATGAACAATTTTATAATTAAGATACATTTACAAAGACATGACTGACACACTCATTAAATAAATTGGAGCCGTAAATTTCCAACTGAAGTTTCAAATTGTATAACATAATAGTAAAGGAGTGAACGAAAGCACAGACCAGATTACCCCATTTTTGTATACATATTCTGAAGCAAATGACATTAAAATAAATGAATATATTATTTACATTTTTATAATCATTGGCCAGTAACCTTTCATGTTCAACAGTGAAGTGGTAAATTGAGCTTCTTGACATTATTCGTTAATCTGCGTTTTGAAAAAGTGATATTATTGTTCCTTTAACTTCTCAATTCTAGAAACAAATCTTCTTCAATGCAATGCAGCAGATAGAGAGTTAGTTTTCGGAAAGTAAAAACAAAAACTGGTCACCAATTTGAACTGGTACCGTGTACAATCGTTACGTTCAAGTAGCTGTACTGATGCAATGTCAAATGTTTCGATTCGGATGCCCACTAACAATTAACATATGCAAAAAGCGGCTGTCCGTAACGAATAACGATAAATTCAAACTGCAAAGCTACTCACCATCTAACAAAAAATATTGTATTCTGTTATGCTTGAAATCGCTTTTAAAAGATCTGCGATCAGTTGTAAAAACTAGGGCATATCATATGACATATTTTAATGAACATGACGTATAACCTGTTGGATGACAGACTTTAAATTGATGTATGGCTACCAAGTTCAAATTAACGTAGCCTTCAAAACAAGATGCTGTGGACCAAAAATAGGCCGGTTACAAGTCCACTCGCAGAAAATTGGCCAGAATTAACCTATTCGTATAATTCGGCACCGAGTTCGATGCTGGAATATTATTTTACTATAACCAGGTATATATATTAATATATAACACAGTGTGTTACGGGCTTTTAGTAACCTCACGTACCAGGAGTGGAGGGTAAGCTCCTACGTAAACTGTTTCCGAGAGTAACGATTATTTTGAGAGGCGCAATGTGAAGACGGGTACGAAACGTAGCCGCTGAAACAAGCACAGAGACACAGAGATACAGAGACACAGAGATACAGAGACACAGAGACACAGAGACACAGAGATACAGAGACACAGAGACACAGAGACACAGAGACACAGAGACACAGAGACACAGAGACACAGAGACACAGAGACAAAGAGACACAGAGACACAGAGACACAGAGACACAAATACACAGAGATACAGAGACACAGAGATACAGAGACACAGAGACACAGGAGATTTGAAAACAGGTTCACGAGTTTGTGCTAAGATTTAAGAATAACAGAGAAGAGAAATAAGAGGTCTGATTTGTTATGGTATAATTTCTTTATATTGTACCCTTGTGTAACAGTACTTCATTATATTTATAGATTTTTATTTAAGCGGTTGCCCGCTGCCGGCCTAATTTTCCGTTTGAGGCCCCAGTCATGGCCCCAGGATGTTGTGTATCATTGCTACACTAATAATACCAGGGTCATTTAACAAACATTCGACGATTACCCTTGGAATCGTGGAGCACTCAGTGCCTGCTACTGGAGCAGAGGTACATTCGCTACACAGGCATTGTTTTTACTTGACACTCGGTACTATGTTCGAGAGCAAATGGCTTAATCTGTCTTCTAGTAACCGGGATAACAATGGATCTGCAGGGTTCACGACTAGAATCACAGAGGGTAATATCCAGGAGGATCTGGTTTAGCATAAATTGAGGAGACTTGTTGCATAAAAGAGGGGCGAGGGTTTAACCTTCAAAATTACAGTGGTATTAATGTCACATACGTTCCTGTAACACTAACAGGTTACCCCATCATTGTGATATAACATACCTAGGGGTCAATGCAACAAAACCTAAACGAGCACACGTAACCCCTCATAGTCATATAAAAAGGGATCGATTTAAAACAAAATAAAGGAATTAGGAAACACCATTCTGCGGTTACGTAGACGCTTTGTAAAGAGAATTGCTAGGTTTCTTATTACTTAATATACTCCGCCATCGAAACTCTTCTGCACATGTGACTGGTAATCAGTTTCAACAAGACGGATAACTGTAGAGCAAACAAAAGCTCTGGTCGAGTATCGACACATCTAAATTATAATGGTTAAGTCTACAGAGATACTCGCTATACGAGAGTACAGACTGCATGAAACTGTTTAAATAATTAGATACCCGGATAGATTCTCTTTATTGTAAGACCACTTTAATTGGAAGTTAGACGTACAGCGGGGAATGCCCACCAACAGACATGGTATAACCCAGATTTAGTCTCGACGGAAATCATATTTAAATTTCTCCGTAAACAGTAAATCTCGATAAATCGGGATTTCCATTCACACTAAACACTTGTTTGAGGGAAACAATTGAGGGAAACGAAAAAGTCTGGCAAATAAAGGTTGCCGGCAAATAAGGATTTTACTGTGGTCAGAGAAAGCGATAATGAAGAGAAAAAAAATAATAAGGATGGATATCATTTAATAATTCTAACTAAATTACGAGTCTTCTAAAACCAGATGTAAGAGCCATATTAAAAAAGAAAGACGTCCCTAATAGACATTAACCCACAACGATTGAACAGCTCTCTTGTATATCATTATTCCCTGGCTAGTGGGCTGTAGCACTAAGGAACAAGGATGTCCAACCGATTTGCAAAGTTGAAGACAAGTTTCCTACAAATTCCAAGGACCGTTAGCTAAAACGTCATAGCTTAGTTCTAGCGATTCAAGAAACCGGTTTGCGCTACAAGGGTCAATTATAGGTCGCACAGTACGATGCTAAAATACATGCAAATATAGCCTTTACCGGATGTGCCGATCTTATGGCACACATTACGACCATTTCCATAGATTATACTTAAACGTCAGGGCTAGTTATTGTGCAGAACTAAGATTGAGTTCATTTGAGGAGTATAACTTAGAATTGATTTTCCAGACTTCCATTTCTCGATTTTCCAGACATTATGTTATGGTTTGTGCAGTCGTAGTTCGTCATGATTATTATGTAGTAAGATTATGAGTAATGATATTGGATTAGAAAAAGAATTTGCAATTCAATATTCATGATTCACAAGCTGAAACTATTCCTACTATCGGTACGCAGTCTCCATCGAATACAGTCTCCGTCGAAATGTTGTAGAAATGCTTTCCATCGAGTTATACTTAACTGTCGATAAAAACTCTTGTACGCTAATTAATTATCACGTTTTACTTATATTACATGGATGTGCGCTCTTTGGAAGAAAACATGGCAAGCTTGGGTGAAAACCTCATTAATTCCATGTTCAACTTAACAGACTTCACAACCGACCTCATCGAAAGATTTCACCTCCTGAAACGGACTAGAGAGTAAGGGGGTTGGCAAATTGACTAACAACTCTGCTGTTTGGCAAGCTGCCTGTTAACTCTTCTCCCCTTTTCTAGAACATGAGAACATCTTCAGTCTGCCAGACTAGATAGAAAAATGTTTCTAAACTTTTTGATAAAAACGGACTGATCGTAACGAGAGATATGTCGAAACAGGGAATGATGGAATTGAAATTTCTAGTTAATCTCCTATTTATCAAAATAGGAGTAGAGGATGAAATAAACTTTTTACAATTATACCCGAGGTTTCATATCTCATCTCAAGGGACCAGTTGCAGTAGTTGCTATGACAACCACAGCTTATTTTCAACTCGAAAATATACGGATATGGGTTAAGCCTTAACCCATATCCGTATATATTCGAGTTGAAAAATCCTTAACTCAAGGATCCAAAGTATAAATTACCCTGGCAGTATATCAATAATTTGTAACAACTGTAATAATGGTAATCATTGTAATCATTGTAATCATTATAACTATTGTAATCATTGTAATCATACACATACATGCAACGCATTTTTACCGGACCGATTACTACCACGTAAACAAAGCAATATATCTTCAATCTTCATATCTAATCTCAATAAAATCAACTTACGTCAGAGCAAAACGTCGGCGCAGGGTATTTTGCCATGTCAATTTGGAACTGAAACAAAATCCGTGCAGTTTTCAGTTATATTAGTATAATATGTTCTGTAAAAAATTCCTGTTCTAAAAAGAATCTGAAACTATCGAAATTAATAGAAAAAACATATTTTTTTATATTTTTAAAAAGCTGTTTAACTGACATATTTACACCATTATACACATGTAACTTTCATAGGACATAAGATGTAGAAGAACAACGAATATTTCATCCGAACTGTGGTGTTTTACTGCCTATCCAATTTATTACATTAATAGAAATGCTGTTCAAATTTTTCAAATTATCATGAAAAATCTCACCTCTTCTTTTTTCAAAAATACCAGAGAAAGACGTTTCTTCCAGGATTTTTTATTTAGCTTCTTCTTTTTATTTAGCTTTGCCGCGACAACATGAGCATGCGCAAAGGCATGGATCTTTAGCTTTGCCGCCGGAGCGGGCGGACTGGACAGTTGCTGCTCACTCATTTATCAGACATTCTAAATATTATTGTCGGTTATTCAAATTAACTTTAGAAGTAGTGATACTTTTAGCTGGTATAACAAAAATGAGTTAGTTAACAAATCATTGAAATTTGAAAATGAAATTAGATTGAATATGACCAGTTATCTAAAAGACAACTGACACAAGGTTTAAGTTGAAGCATTTAAGTTGAAATTGAACATAACGTATACATGACATAGCGTGTATAAATTGGCTACAATAGAATTAACAACATATTTCTATTCGAATCATTAACATTAATTGTCAAATTGATTCCGAAAATATAAAGTTATCGGAAACTTCCCAATAAGTTTATGGTTTACATGATGACACAACTATCTTGGTCTTGCGAAGAAGTTGAACAATCTGAAGTCGCGTTTTTCAAACTAGGTCCAGCTATGTCCCCTTTACCAGCGTTTGATTTGTCTTTCTTTAACAGGGTTTTCCCTCTATCGATACAGGCCATCGCAAACAATTTAAACTCTCCGTAATCAAGCTGTTGATCACCACTCACGTCGAAATCATTGAAGATATCTCGAATCGCTTTAAGTCCTAAGTTGAAAAGGAGGCCAAATATTTCAAACTCCTCGACATCAATGGTGGCTGAGCCGTCCTTGTCCATCAGATCGAAGACAGTGCGGGAGTGGTGGTAGATAAACTTCTTTTCCTCGTGGTCCTGGATTGAAACTAGGATGCAAACCATCAGATAAAACTCATTGTACTCGATGGAGGACGAACCGTCAACATCCAACATATCAAACACACGGTATATCTCTTTTCGGTTTAAGTCTGTGGCTTTTTTCATGAAAACGTAAAACTGAACGTCGTTGAGGGCCCCTGTTCTGTGTATATCAAGGAGGCTGAAATATGTGTAAACAATGCAAGCATTTCTACCACTGAGCAGACTGTACTCACGATCAAGGTGCATAAAGTTTAGTATCTTTGACTTGACCTTCATCTAGAAATAATGAATCATCTTCAAGTACAAAGTATACAGTACTATAATATTCAATTTATTCATTTTCATTTTGTATGATAGTAACACTAACAGTACTACTAATTGACCATGACGATCAGATCACTGCGATGATTGAAATTTGAATTCGTATAAAATCAGAAAAATATTCAAAAATCTAATAGAGCACATACAAGTACAAACCGCGATCATTGCATAGTATCGGTCAATTCATGACATAACTTTATCTTAAACCAGGATTAGGCGTATTTTAACTGTGGCTCTGGTCATAATTCATATTTAGAAAACCGTAACCAATAATAATAAAACAATAACTAATGAACCGTAAGACTGTTTTTGAAAACAGACACTATAAATTAACCTGGTTAAATGTATCATTTACAACAATTAATTGAAATTTGAAAACCCAACTAGCAATGGGGAAGCGAGACACAAAAGCCCAAGTAAGCTGAGCTGCGAAATGAAAAGAATGTTGCACGTGAGTGGCGCAAAACTTGTATTGTATTGTGTCACGTACAAATTAAATGCACGTGAAATGATTTTGCAACGAGCGTAGAGCGTGAAGTGTGGAGCAAAGCTAGGAGCAAGCATTGGTATATACCGAATGGATTTTAGTAATTTTAATATTTATACTGGAATTAGTTCACAAATGAGTTATACTGTTACACATGATGGGTTTGTCCAAGGCAACTTTCGCTCATTAAATCGTTGAAAACCATCAAATTTAAAGGGCTAAATTAAATATTTGAGCCGCGCAATGGGACATGACAACTCACCGAGCAGATTTTACTCCGCAAACGTTTGGCTAAATAATGATTTGTACGCCACGCGCGCACTCATCTTGATACCATCTGTTCGGCTCTTGCTGTCGTGTCAGTTTCACAGAATAACTTGACACATTTTCTGCTACTAGACATTCCAGGTGCTGTCATTGCGTTCAGTTGACGGTCCAGTCATGCTGAACATAGCCTGCTTCATTTGTCCTTTCTTCTGAGCTAAACAACAGCATCCAAAACTGTAGACATCGTGCCCATATTTTGCAATACTTTACACATTTTCCCATTCTCATAATGTGCCATAACCTGACTTTCCATGGAGGCTGCCATGTATCACAAGTGGTGAATCATGCCAGTATCTTTAGTAAGTAACCTGCAGTCAACGATCACACTTCATTCATCGTTATTTACGTTGAAAATTTTGAAATAACTTGTTTTGTCCTTTTCCCCGCTTTCATATGTACATTGGAGTTATTTATAACCTGTTAAAGTAGCCCATTTAGTTGCTTGATTTCCCCCAACTAAATTGACTTTATCTAGCCATGGACACAGCTCCTAAGACTCTTCACAGAGGATGGGTTGTCAAACAGGTAACTAGCATAACAACTTGTTTCGTCAAATCCCTGATATTCTTTTAGTTTTCCATAAGTTTAACTAAGATTAGGTGTAAAATTGTATGAGACTTGGATCTATTTATATCGGTATAATCACAGGTCAACTCTGGAGACACAATAGTGTTGAAGGGGCGGCCAAGAGGCGGACCCCCTCCCGAGAGAAACGTCAGTCTGGCGTACATTAGCGCACCCAAACTCGGACGCAGACCCATCGGTAATGAAGAAGCTACTATTGATGAGGTGAGAATTGGAAAACTTTCATTCTGTTATTGTTTGTTAGTTTATAGAACCCGTCCCCAATCTCGTATCGGAAAATGACTTAACTCAGTTCTGAGTGTGAATACGGGTGGTACCTGCAAGAGTTATTTCATTCTGTTATTTACGGCAGACCAAGTTAAATTTCGCAGTTTGGCAGTCTAACATAGCCTACCAATTACCTACATTATTTTGTAATAGACTCACAACCTAAAACTAAATTCTCTGCTTTTCAGCCGTATGCTTGGGAAGCTCGGGAGTATCTGAGGAAACTGTTGGTTGGCAAGGAAGTAAGCTTCATGGTGGAGCATACCATTCCCATCAGCGGCAGAGAGTGTGCCCTTGTTTACATCGGTATGTATTTTAGTGTTTGTAGTAGCAGTTGACTGATTAGAACTGATTCTGACAAATTTATGTTGTAAGGTTGCTCAGTTTAGGAAGCATCCTGTAACACAGAAGAAGTTTAAGTTATGGTAGATTCTATTATTTTGTAAGTTACATTAAATTCCACTGAAATCTGTGGTATTTTTGTCTTGACGCATTGAATTCCAGGAACTGGAGAGAACTCAGAATGTGTCAATGAACTTATGGTTAAAGACGGCTGGGCTATCACTAGAAACAACAACAAACAAAACGAGTAATATTTCTTATTCCTATTTAGACTTTGAATATATTTCGAAAAGTACGATCTACTCATGCGCTTTAAATAACGTCCTATCCTCAGAAACCATGATTTAAGTTATGATAACTAACCCTAATTTACAGTTAACTGGTTATTTGGCCTCTCTTACCTAGACTTACCTAGATTAGAACTGGTCGCTAGTTGTCAATATTTACAGTTTACAATTAACTTTGTGCCCCGCCTACGCGTACGTACGTTAAGACATTTCTATGAGAAGAAAGATAACTTACGTTTTATAGCACAGGCTTTCTTTTTTTTTCGCTCTTTTGTCAAACTAGTAGGTACATTGATTAATTAATTAATTAATTCATCAGAGAGGTAGCAAAGTACTCGATGTGGATGATAGAAGCTCAGACCTCTGGGATCGGAGTTCACAACGAGGATGGTAAATCTGCCGCCATCAGGGATGTTAAATGGGTTATTGAGGACCCCAGGATGTTATTCGACGAGCTCAAGGGGAAACCACTCAAAGGTTTGTTTCTACAACTGATTATCATTGATTTGTAATTAAATTGTGTGGTTCTGCATACTTATATTGTGAGAGAAGTAATAACAAGTTGACATTAAGTTTAGAACAAATTCATGCAAACAGTTATCCAGCGGAAATTTAATTGACACCGAGTGTTACAGTGGTACACCATTTTAACTTCACGTACAAATGTATGGAATATAATATCTTGCTTCGTCGTAATTGGCGCATTTCCACTCAACGTTATACATCAGCATGGCAGGAACTACACAGATTGAACCGCACCAACAGGCAACAGAGTGTACTCATGTATACATAAACCCCTCGCCCGAACTGTAAATACAGCTCTCTTCCTCTTCCTTACAAAACTTGTTTTTAAACTTGTTTTTAGAGAGAGAAGAGTTAAAACTCTTCTCTCTCTAAATATGTATCTGTGCTATGCAAGATTGGGTTCTCATTCTCTACATGGCACAGTGTAACTTGAATACGTTTTACATGCGCGATAGTGACACCGTGGTAGCTGCAATAAAACAATAAGTGTAATTTTACTTTTTCAATGCCATAATATGCTTCAATAGCGACCACTACACCGCCACCGCATTAAACAGCTTTGTTTTGCACGGCTAATATTATACAGTAAATATACTGCGACTGTGACGTGGTATGTGTGTTAAAATGCGCTGCTGATCTGTCAGAACGTGCACACTGCCACGGTAGACTATCGTGTGTCACCTGGGCCGCATATTTCACATATTATGTATGAAATTTGCATATGTTACATGTAGATAATTGGGTAGGGTACACGTGTATTGTTCATACAGGAGGGCCCCTATAATGTTGGGTATGTTACCCTCTCCTCTCGTATTACACTGAAATTGTTATGATAAAGATAACACTCTGCCCGGTTATCTGAGAGAACGCTTCTTTGAAAGTTTAGCCCTCAAGCTTCCACGTGTCGAATAGATTCCACTCTGAATATAATAGACTGAGGCAACGCTGTTAGTACAAAGCCTCGTTAGAGGCTCAAATTACAGCTTATTGTTACTACTGGAACATAACGTATGTGTCGTGTACTTCTCTGAATATTTTTATGGGTACTTCATAGCTACATATTAACAAACTTTATTGGCGATTCTCTGAATATGAACAAGGTGGGGCAGTATCTGATTTCTAATTCCTCTAAAGTTTCATATAAATGAAAAACACGACCCAGTTTTAACAGCTGTTTATACAATATACATTGGGCCTCTTCTCACAGTTAGCGATATTACACAACACAAACATTGTACTTCCGTTAATGTTAAATTCCCTTTGTTACAAAAAGTACAAAGGACAGCTACACAATCTTATATAAACATAGTTTAGACAAACACAAATTTCTTTAGAGGACATCTTAAGGTTTGTAAAATAGATGAGCGTATCACAAATGAGAAGGTCTACTTTCTTTACAAGTTTCACGAAACTTCTTAGAGCCGCATATATAATCTAGAATAATATCATTCGTGGAAGAATACTACGAAATTTGATCATCTCTTACTTATGTTACTCTGAAAATGCTTGTTTATCGTAATATATATTACTGACTGACTGATATTGGTTTACAGCTGTTGTCGAGTCAGTAAGGGACGGAGGAACCCTGCGTCTGATGCTGGTACCCACCATGAACTACATCACCCTCATGTTGACTGGAATCAGATGTCCTTCTTTTAAACCTGATGGTGGTTCTGAGGACCATGCTGACGAGGTGAGATTAACATTTTTACATTTAGAAATTAAGAAACTGCTTTTTTATATTAGCGACAAGAGAAACGCCATTGTTGGAGACGTGAGGAGAGTGAGGACTCCTCAAACTACATTAAATTATTTCCTTCTGTAACGTCCTCAATAAATGTAATAGATTTGTAGTGTTGTAATTAGTTTAAAACTACAACATAATTTCTGAAGCAGGAATGATTTTACTTTTTCCTAAGAACAGATTTCTCCCGATAGTTAGGCTAAAGTACTTTTGATTTTGCGGCCTACATGGAGTGGTTGTGTGATCATTAGTTTTATTATTTGGACCACATGGAGCCAAGATTTGTCGTTATCTTGATAAAATTTAAAACTGCATCATGAATACTGAATATGTTACAAGATGATTGATGATTATTCGTTAACTCCAAATATAATTTACATCAGCGAGACTGTGCTCTTACTATTTAGATGTTTCCCAATCTTCCCATACAAATAAAAAGGATGACTACAGGTTAAACCATATTAGTGCAAATTTTATTGAACATTTTCGGCTCTCGCTTTGGGTAATGGTTAACAGGTTACAGGCTAACAGAACTGAATGGTAGCAAGATAACGTTATAAAACAGTTCACTTCTGGCTTGTTAGTAGGAACTGAAATTGGATTTGCGTCTAACACACCCCCTATAGCATCCCAGTTGAGCAGTGAGTTAGTGATATTGAGATGGTTTAACTTGTAGTTTATCTGGGAACAGAGCGATAACAAAGCCGACAAAACTTTATCATGCTTCCATAGTGGTGATCGAGCTCAGTTTGAGGTTGTTAACTCGCTGTTTTCATCCTGAATAAATCAACGTTGTAAGCTTGCTTTGACACGGTTGCAACACATTACACACCGTCCTTAGGGTTGTTTAATGGAAAGAGTCTCACAAGTGGTTCTTACTTACAAGTGGTAAAACTTAAATGAATAGAATGATATTTATATTCGATATTTTCTATTGATAATCAAAATATAGGATGCCAGCCTTTGATGACTGTAGTTATAGAAAATTTTGATCGTCAAGAAGTAAAGGTGTAAGGTTTGTCCTGTGAAATATAGAGCCCAAATTCAGATTTGACCATATTGAGAGCTTACGCCTTACAGCTGTGCATCATTCACAAGATAGTTGTAGCTACTGAGCTGCGAGATTGCGAAATAGTCATCATCAGCAGTGGTTCACTGATTGCGTAACATTTGTACATTATGTAGACCCACCAGATATTCTTGCCGCTGTGCATATTTTACTAATCCCACAGGAAGGCCAAGAGTTGTTGTTTGAGAGCTCTCTGGGTTTTAATTGACCTCGAGCTATAGGTTATTGGGCTTGGGTCCCCGAATTTAAAGCACCTGTCACCTTGTGGTTGCTAATGTACAGTGTATATGGGCGGGGTATGCAGGAATGCTCTTTAGTTCTGTTGGAATGCTAGAACAACTTAACTGAAGCAAAGTAAATGCGATTTAAATTTGTAACTATTTTAAGAATTTGTATTAATGCTTTTCATACAAAGTTACAACAAAGTCTTCATGTTATAGTTTACCTCTTATTGATGTTGCATGTTAAAGAAGTATCTCAATTTTCCTAAATTTCAGGCACGATACGCTGTTGAAACTCGATTACTTAACAAAGACATCGAGATTTTACTGGAAGGTAACAATGTTATTACAATATGTTAAATTTATTATCGTTGGCAATTTCATTCAGAATCCTTCTATACTTGTCCATAGCGACTATCAAATAGATTTGGTAGATACGGCACGTGTACTAGTCCATCTTAAGACGAGACTTTTTAATCGAAAATCTTTCCCAACAGTACATACAGGATTAGACAATCGAATTAAAATATAGTTTTATGTCAATTCTGTTAAAAGTATTGTTAATATCTTAAATGGGATTCCAAAACACAAAAACGTGTTGTTAATATCTTAAATGGGATTCCAAAACACAAAAACGTGCAAAAACTGCAACCACATGGCCCTGTAAAAATATTTGTGTTATAAACAATCACTTAAAACTGATTTATGACAACAAACCATTGCAGGTACATCTGGAGGTATGGGTAACGCCAGGAATCAGAACTTTGTCGGAAGTGTTGTCACACCAGTAAGTTCCCATTTCCGTCCTATCAAATTAGTGCCACAGAGCAACAACAGTCACAAAGTAGCGCCCTGTAGGTGTGGTAGACGTCGCGCGCGAATCGTTCCTCGTAAGTAACAGACCTTACAGTCAGCCAAAGTCGTGACGAAAATTTCGCGCGCGTAATGCCTTAAGATTCTGAATTATCATACATGACGTACATTCTCCAGCATGGATAGTATTGCTATCAGCCATGTACGGCGTACACTTTTATACCATGCTTCTTTCAGGGAAACATTTCTTTGTTCCTGCTTAAGGAGGGTCTTGCCAAATGTGTGGATTGGAGCATGAAACTACTCACAGCTGATCCAGAGTCATATCGTGCTGCAACTAAACAAGCTAAGGCGGATAAGAAAAGACTGTGGAAGAACTATGAAGGTACACAATTTGTGCAGATTTCCAATTTCTGAAGTTTTACTCAGTACTGTGTAGGTCGAGTAAATAATTTCGTTGTGTCATGATTTACTGAACTTATTTATCCATGTGTAATGTGTTTGTTATTTTCAGGACCTGTATGCACTGTGCCGAAAGATCAGAAAGAATTCTCTGGTAGAGTAACTGAGATTGTGAATGGTGAAGTATTAGTGATCAAGGTAGGAAGTGTCTACAAAAGAGTGACAATGTCGTCCATCAGACAACCTCGTCCAGCTGAAGGCACTGACGCTGGTCCCCCGAGCAGGGCTCTCTACGAAGTACCATATCTTTTTGAAGCTAGAGAATTTCTCAGAAAACGACTGGTAGGAAAGAAAGTGAATGCCACAGTTGATTACGTGAGGCCAGCTGCTAATGGGTATCCTGAGCGAGTGTGTGCTTCTATCTTCCTTGGTAATCAGAACATTCAAGAAGCAACCGTTAGCAAAGGTCTTGCTACAGTTGCGTGGCACAAACAAGACGACGATGAGAGAGCTGCTAACTACGATGCTCTTTTACTTGCACAAGAAAAGGCTAAGAAGGTATTAGATTGTCGATATAATTTTGTATTGAAATTTTCTTCTGACCATCAAATTTTTTCCGATTTGAATCTACAGACATTTTTCTTCAGATCTTTCAACCTATAATTTTTAGAACAAAGTTGGCGTCCACTACGGCGGAGAGCCACCTATTCACAAAGTAGCTGACCTCGCTGGAAACGCTGCCAAGAGCAAACAGTTTCTGCCTTTCTTACAGAGAATCGGTCGACTTCACGCCAATGTGGAGTTCGTCGCCAGTGGCAGTCGCATCCGTGTTTACATTCCTCGTGACACGTGTCTAGCTACATTCCTTCTCAGTGGCATCAGGTCTGTGTAGTTTCTCTCTAGAGATGATGATTTTGAGAGCATTAATGTCTCACCAACTATCACGCTAAGATGTTTATCAGTGCGTCCACAATTTGTCCAATTCATGTCTGAACTCTCAATACAAAGAGTTTTGAATGTTTACTTCTTAGTTGTCCGAGAGCAGGCCGACCATCTATCAAAGGACAGCCGGCTACACCTGCCGAACCCTTCGGCGATGAAGCTCTTGAGTTTATCAAAGATCAAATTATGCAGAGAGAAGTCGAAATTGAAGTTGAGAGCTGCGACAAAGCAGGTTTGCAGTAGATTTGATCTTGGTTGTTTGAATTAAATTGGTACAGTTTCTTATCATGAATACTGAATAGGACCGTCTACCTCCCTTTATTATAACTGAGTCTAATAAAAACAAAAAGAAATTGTTTTTTTTTGCACAAAATATTTTTGTGACTTTGAGCTGATTATTTGCAGGTAATTTCATCGGTTATCTGTTTGCGGAAGATAAGAACATGTCTGTTGAACTTGTGAAAGAAGGCTTGGCCAAAATGCACTTCACAGCAGAACGCGGAAAATACTTCGATCATCTTTCCAGGTGGGAGGTCATTTTGTCATTTCGCTCAATTTTCAAAGTCAATCAATGCCTTTTAATTGTTCGTTAATATTTCTTCATTCCTTACTTAATCATGTCAACCCTACAGAGCTGAAGCAGACGCTAAAGCAGACGGAAAGAGAATGTGGAAAGACTACGTTGAGACAGTCGTAGAGAAAGAAGAATTAACAGAAATCTCAGACAGCAATAAAGCAGAATCTACTCCAGCATTAAAGGTTAGTTTGCTTGACAATGTGGTCTTCGGAGAGTGGCGAAAATTTACTGAAATTACCTTTCATTTTTAAATAGACACTTTAACATGTGTTATTCCTCACAGATCTATATTTACAGGAGGTAGTTGTAACGCATTTAGAAGATTGCAGCAAACTTTGGGTACAGAAGTGCGCGGACGGACCCGGTTTAATATCACTAATGAACCAAATGAGAGCAGATCTGATCAGCGATCCTCCACTAGCTGGCAGTTTTACTCCTCGCAACGGAATGTTGTGCGCTGCTATCTTTAGTGAAGACAGTAACTGGTAAGTTATATACCTTTTCCTCTGGAGTCTGGGTAATGGTATCTAGACCTGCGAGACTGTTTTCCTGGAGTCTGTATGCACATTGCTCAATAAAATTGTGTATTTTACCTCCATTTTCATTCAAAGTGTAACAAACTCAACCACACCTCAGGTATAGAGCTAAAGTACTGAAAGTTCACAAAGATTCAGACTTAATAGATGTTTTATTTATTGACTACGGTAACCAAGCTACAGTGTCCTCAACTGGTGCAGCGCAGCTCACTCCACAGTTCTCCAGTGTTCCCGGAGCCGCGGCCGAGTGTCAGCTGGCTTTCATAGTCCCTCCTGAGGACGAGGATTGGAAAGAAGAGAGTCTCAGAGAAGTTCAGGTCAGTGAGAGTAGTTCAGGTCAGTGAGAGAAGTTCAGGTCAGTGAGAGAAGTTCAGGTCAGTGAGAGAAGTTCAGGTCAGTGAGAGAATGGGGTAGGGTGGTCTGGGGGACTGGGGCGTTCAGATAGTTAGGGGTCGTTCACATATTACGTAATCAATATATCAATTTTTACCCCCCTCCCCCCTCCGTAATCAACCGTAATCAAGACCCAACCCCCCCCCCCCCTGACAGCAATATTACGAATCATGGCCTGACCCCCCCCCCCCCCCCCCCCCCCCATTGACTTTTTTCCCTGGAAATCATTCTTCTTTACGTTTCATGCTACCCTGATCATGATGAGCCGAAATCATTGTTATGATATCCGGCCAAGCACCTTTCAAACTACTTGCTATAATGGATATCCGATCAATTTCTAAATTTTATCACTATCATAATGAAATTGAGTGGAATTTGAATTAACATATTGTAAATTGTTATTATTCTAGAGGATAAAAAAGAAAATGTTTATTACGTAATCAACCATCAAACCCATCCCCCCCCACCCCCCCCCCCCCCCCCCCCCCCCCGTAATCAACCGTACGCGTAAGCATTTGGAAACCCCCCCCCCCTCCCCCTCGGTTGATTACGTAATATGTGAACGACCCCTTATATTATGAAATCATTCATGTATATTATCTGTTTTATCAACTATGGAGTTGTACCTTACAAAGAATTGGAATTATGAAAATGAGTTGCGGAATTATGAAAGCGAATTGTTTGTAAATGTCATCGGTGCAACTTCCCCGACCAGTTATAAAAGGATTTCAAGCCGATTTATAGATTGACGTCATCACTTCCTTATAAATCAAGAGGCTTGCATATAATGAACATATTGACACGGGTGCAGAGTTGAGTCTGTACGGAACCTAGTAGTTTCAGATCCTTGTTTAACTTGCCGTACAGCAAGGTCATCCACTATTTTGTCGTTTAATCTTGATTGCAGTTTAATCGTTGTGATCAATTTGCTCAACTTTTGACGTTATTTTAAATCCTCTCACGTTCTATACTAGGTTGAATTTAAATATTTTATCATATCATTACTTTCCTCATTTTCAGATGCTGACCCAAACTAAGCTGGTAATGACAGTAGTCGGTAAGAACGGAAGTGCGGATCTAGTCAGTCTAACATCCAATGGAACTGACATAGCTACTCATCTTCTTTCTAATGGTCTTGTAGAGTACGAGAAACAGAGAAACAGAAACAAATATGGAACTCTGGTGAGTTCAGCTCAATCTTTCATGCTACTCTGATCACGTGATATTTACTGAATCCTGTTACATTCTATACTGTATGTAGTGTGTACTATATGATTTATTTAATTCTACTCCACTGCACTGGATCCATTCCCAAACAAATAAATTGATTCTAATCGTTGTTTTGAGTCTATTTGTGCATCGACATTTATAAGACTTTTCATTTCAGATGTCCACGTACGAAACTGCAATGGCAGAAGCCAGGAAAAACCGAAGAAACCGTTTCCAGTACGGTGACTTTACCCAAGATGACGCCAAAGAATTTGGATACGCTAAATAAGTTAACTTACATCAGGAACAAACTTGTTTTAAAATTCATCAGTTTTACGGACATACATATTTATTTAATTGTGGGTAATTTTGATTTTTACTGGCGACCTTTTTAAATTTATCCAGCCAAACACCAATTTGATGATGGCCCCTTTCTGTCCTGTTGATGACATGATGTTTTCTGTATGATACAAATTTGACTTGAGGTATATAGTATTGATTTGTTAAAATTTAAGATTTAGATATTTCCAAAATTCGATTTTCACTTTGTTTGAGCGGTATAGAACGAATGTCAGGACTGGAGGCAATGAAAAACTAGTTAACAACAACTTAGCTCGAAAACTAACAATTGTCCTTGTCACACTTAGTTTCCGAATTGTTGGTTTATTTTACGAAAAACGTGTATCAATGATCAAGTAGTAAATGAAATGAAATTGCGACTTGAGACAAGTGACTAACTGGTCACAATCACATTTCTCAATTAAAACAGCTGACCTGACTTTTTATTTATGCAATGTCACAACCATAAGCTACGACAGAATTTGACCATTGTTAATGGTCTGGCCCGGCGCGCGCAACTTCGAATGTTCGAAGAAATTTAGACGAGTTTGGAGTAACAATAACATCCGTCAACGACAGAAGCAAAGTTTATGTTGTCAATTTTTAATGGTAGTTAAATTGAAATTTTATCGTGTGGCGGGGTGGCGCGCAAAAAGCTAAAACATAAAAGTACGTAAAATACAAAATATACGTTACGTGTTATAATTTTAGTGTTGCGTGTTGACGGATGTTACTCATCTAAATTTTTTTAAATGTTTTAGAAGTAGCGCGCGCCGCTTTCTTCTCGAAATGATGGCCCGATGTTAATTGACGATGTCAATTCATCGCAGCTCGGCGAGGCACAGTAGCGCATTTCGCCGATCTAGCGAGATCTTAGCTTGCCGATTGCCGATGTCGCTGTGACTGTGAAACGCCTCATTGAGTGCGTGGCGCGGCACAGTAACGCATCTTACCTGAGGACCCCAGGCTATTATGTTCATCACAATGCTGGCAAGCATGACCGTGCCTCTTATATTCACAATACTATTTACCTTCTTTACTATTTACCCCCTTTACTTTTATAACCCTTTATTGTTTTTCGGGCATTAAGACTCATCGAAAGTAGTTCAGCAGGTATATTTAAGTTCAAATCATTCTAATTCAATGTTAAAGATGACAGGAACAAAAAATAGTTATGTGGAGGTTTTTAAGAAATTTGCGCAAAATACGCGCCAGCATGTTATACTTATAGTAGAGGCTCTTACGGGCTTTGTCTGCTCGATACACTAAAATCACCAGACCCATCTTAAAAGACGTATTTTTGACCGTAGAATCGATTAAAAGTGGTTAGAAGTGTTTAAAATGGGGGTTACCTGGTTTTATTTTGAAAAAACCGTTTTTTGGCCCCAAAAATGGCCATTTTTTGAGGTTTTTTAGAAATTTCGACAGGTTAATTCAATGAAAAAGCTTAGATATTTTGGTTTCTTGTACATTTTTATTTGCCGCACTAGCTAATACCAATATAATAAGCACACCTAAGAGTTTACCCGGTCAAAATTTTAAAAAACCTCCCAAAAAAATGTTTTTTTGCGCGCTAAATTTTTTCGGCTCTTTATACATCCACAATGAAATATTTTTGCCCACAAAGTGTTTTAATACTGTTCAATAATAGTATTTGATAGTTTTTCAGCGTCAAAACAAGTTTTGAAAACGGAAGAAAAAATTATATTTTTCGTGGCGCTGAGCACTTTGAAAATTTTTGAATAAAATCGAGCGCTACCGTAAAATTTTAGTAACCCTTCCCTGAAACTCATTTAAGTTTTTGTACCGTTAGTGTTTTGTCCTTTTCTGAAGTTCATGCCTTCTCTGGCTTAATTTCATTTAATATTGTTTAATACAGTACAGTAAAGTGTTTTATAATAGTAGAGTGCCATTTCTAATACTTCAATGTTACATTGTTGAGATACCTTTACTTGACTGATTACCTTTTGTTAATACAATTTCACAAATTTAGTATTGCATTGCTTATATGACTATTTGGATTTATAATTTATCGATTGTGGGTATGAATAAACTTTTGGTTCACAATCAACAATATAATGTCTACTGTGTGGTACCCTTACAAGATTAATTGAAGATCTTTTGACAAGAATGCCTGACTTAAACCCCATCATCCATCACTCATTCCGTGTTACCTGTTGGATGTGGAGGACCCCTACCACAAACTGAAATATTGTAAAGGTACCCTTCAGTACATAAATAGAGCACTGTAAATAATATAGATTAGTTACTGCTATCTTCTCAATGCAATTTTGAATACATGTCAGGAACACCTGACTTAAACCCCCTCATCCATCACTCATTCAGTGTTGCCTGTTGGATATGGAGGAAATCTACACCACAAAGTGGAATATTGTAAAGGCACTCTTCAGTACACATAAAATAGAGCACGGTAAATAATATAGATTAGTTGCTGCTATCTTCTTAACATGATTTTGAATTTATAAATAGTAGTAGAGTAAATGGCAGGAATGCCTGACTTAAACCCCCTCAGCCATCACTAATTTCGAATAAATGTATAGATGCTGCATTGAATTCATGAAGATATCATTCGTTTTGAGCAATCATTCCCTTAGCTCCCCCGTTCTTTGATTGTTTCAAAGAAGTAGTCATACTACAATATGTATTGTTTAGTTACATCTATTGCCAAGTTATTTAAGCCATTTCATCTCTAGTAGATTCAAATAATTTCTGTAATTCTGAATTATGTTGCTGAACAAACTTGACAATCACCATTAGAAAGAAGGTGACATGTTTATGGACCCAGAACTAGCTAAGACAGTTCTCTGTGTACATGCGGATCACTTCAAGAATCTTCCTGATGAAAGAAGCTTGCGTGGTTTGTTAAAAGACTTCGATCCGCTCACAGCCATGCAGATTAAGAAGAATTTAGATCGACATTATTTTGATAACAATGAAAACTCAAATGGTTTGATTTTTAGCTAAATTACCATAATTATTATAATTAATTAAATACAGGCTGACAATGTTTCATTTCGCAAACTGTATCTGAATAATGTAATTTTAACTGAATCTTAAGCTGTTCAAACAGCTTTTTTAGATGATGTTATCGATGCTGTATAAGTTGAAACCTTTTGATGATGAGAGGTACATGAACAAACCTACACTAAACAATACTACATTCCAGCTTGGAACGAAATGAGTGGAGTTGAACGACGCCCTGTTTATTGAAACTTCATCAATCAACTTTTAAACTATGCAGGTTATTAATGAAATGAAATGAAATACTACTACTTTGTCGGAACTAAGTCCGATCTACGCCAGATAACCCCCTCCATATATCCCTGTCCCGCATCAGGGTTCACAGTTCCTCTTTTGAGTTTGTCCCAATTTGCTTCAGTAACATAGACAAGTAGCTTTGTCTTGGTCGGCCTTGCTGTGCTCTACCATGCATAGGTTTCCATAAGACTAAATCACTGGCAAGTAGCTCAGGATGTCTGATGCAGTGTCCTGCCATTTTTAGTCTCCTGCTTCGTAACTTGTTTGACAGCCTTGGTAGACTACCATACAAAGTTATATTGCTGACTTTGTCCTTCCATGAGATACTTATGGACGTATGTCACTCATTATTATGTATCACTCTCTAACATCTTGTCCTCACTACAAATATTACCACTTCTGATATAATAATGTTTTTTTGTGTCTTCTTTGGCTCAGGCATGGCTCCAGCTCAAAATCTTTGGGTGGGTGCAGCTTGGCGCACGGGGGGGGGGGGGGGGGGGGGGGCCCTAATTTTGGAATTTTACTCTCCTAACGGTATTTTAATATCTCCAAAACAGTCTCAATTGATTACAGAAGTCAATTGACCCTTAGTTTATACAAAATTTGACAATTTTTGTGTGAAGATTTTCAAATCGTTTGGGTGGGTGCAACAGGAGGGGCTAAGTGCAAAGAAACTGCTGCTAACTGCTGCTCACTGCTGCTCACTGCTACTAACTGCTGCTCACTGCTGCTCACTGCTGCTCACGGCTGCTCACTGCTGCTCACTGCTGATGTCGCGCGCGTTCCCATAGCAGCAGTGAGCAGCAGTGAGCAGCAGTGAGCAGCAGTGAGTAGCAGTTGCGCGCGGCGTGCGTTGTGCAGTAAAGACACGCATATAACTGCTGCTAACTGCTGCTCACTGCTGCTCACTGCTGCTCACTGCTACTAACTGCTGCTCACAACAGCAGTGAGCAGCAGTGAGTAGCAGTTGCGCGCGGCGTGCGTTGTGCAGTAAAGACACGCATATAACTGCTGCTAACTGCTGCTCACTGCTGCTCACTGCTGCTCACTGCTACTAACTGCTGCTCACTGCTGCTCACTGCTGCTCACTGACAGCAGCAGTGAGCAGCAGTGAGCAGCAGTTAGTAGCAGTTAGTAGCAGTGAGCAGCAGTGAGCAGCAGTGAGCAGCAGTGAGCAGCAGTTTCTTTGCACTGAGCAGCAGTGAGCAGCAGTGAGCAGCAGTTTCTTTGCACTTAGCCCCTCCTGTGACCCGAACCTACACGGTGGAGCCATGCCTGCTTTGGCTATCTGTTTCATTTCCAAGACCAACCGCTGATGGATAGCTCGATCTTCAGGTGATCGATCTGGAGAGATGAAAACAGTCTTATGATCTTCACACAGTCTCAGCTTTTTGGCATTTACTAATATCTGATGAACGGTAAGTTAGAATTACCTAGCGAAACTTTGACTGGTCTCGTCTTGTTGGCTGATTTTCTCCCAACCCAGATAGCTTCAAAACGTGGTTTTTCTTCAATCTGCTGAAAAATCACGGTAACTTTATTGCACAGTTCCTCTTCATCAGTCTCCTTCAAACCAAATATGAGCACATTCCTACTGCGATCCTCTTCCGATACAGCATTCTGTACAACCTTTTTTAAACTCTCTTCTGCAAGCACAGGTGCATTTTTAGTCACAGCTTGACTGTATGACTTCATCTCAGCTTGGACAGTGTCTTGAACGGCGGTCTTGACGGTGGAGTGCACGGATTCCAACTGCTTCGATTTAGTTTCCAGAAGTTCAGCCTGCAGCTTGATAACAGTACTTTGCGATCGGATAAGATCGCTCTTCAACTCCTCCATATCTTTCTTGTTATCAAGAAACGTACTTACATGATTATCGGTAGTCTGATACGCAGAATACAAATTACAAATGTTTTACTGAAACTGACTTCACTGAAAACTCAGATTTATTGTCACTAACAGTTCGTAGCTTCCGCGAGTTCAGTGATCCAACCGTTATAGACCTCATACTCTTCAGTAATGTAGGTAGAATAAACTGACAATCTTTGAAGAGTATCCATTTCCTCCATCGTTTACTTGTACTTGTATAAAGTAAAAACACAGTACCAGCAAAATGGCAGTTGTTATGTAGCGATAAAATAGAGATAAGAGCTAGATTATCAACACGTAACAAAAACTGTAAAACTGTATCATAATATTATGATGCTTTTAACATCATCTGTTGTGATATACATGACAAAGGGTTGGAAATGTACAGTAACCTTACTATATTGCAATTACACAATATTATGTGAACGACCCCTAACCCCTTATAGGCTCTATAAGCATTGAATAATGATAACTGCAGGGTTTCAAAATGTACAAGGCATCATATCAAAGATTGCATATGCCCGAAAGAAGGACAAATCCAATTTGGCTTTCTGGATGTATGGAAAGCTCTCAACCTTCCAGAAAAGTACTTTTCAAAGGAACACTTAAATCCCTCCGACAGGTAATTATTATAAATAATAATTTAGTCTACACTTCATTATGTCAAATCACCTACTATAATGAAGAACTAAAATTGTTGTGTTAACCAAGTTTAATGTGACTCAATTTTGGTGGAACTTTAGAATTTGGACGTTATATCTATCATGTTCATCTTAAATCTCATATATTATATACTCAATATTCAATTAAACAGACAAAGATAACCTCTCTAGGCCCTCTGGTGGTGACGTATATAAGTGCTTTCTCAGTTCTTTCTCTCGCTTTTGGACAAATCCAGTGAGTTAACTTTTTATCAGTGGTCGACCGGGGGCAGGATTCTGACCGGGGCCGGGGAGCCCCAATATAGCCGGGGCCGGGGCTGACCACTGAGAATTGGCCGGGGCCGGGGTTTACCCCCGGCGAATTGCCAATTTTTGGCCGGGGCCGGGAAGGGCTAAGGGTTGTGATTTTGGCCGGGGCACCGGTCGACCACTGCCTTTTATGTCACGATTTTTAAAACTTTATTCATAAGTTTATGAAACATCAAAACTTTGCATGCTCTGCATAATGTAAACTCAGTCATGCACTAGAGCACAGTTCACATATAACCTAATCCACCCTAGGGGAGGGGGTTTGAAATCGCTTGTGCTAGAGTGATTTATACTCAATAGCTATGTGAAAAGTGGCTCAAGGAGGGGAGACCGACGTAAACAATTTTGAATTGGTAGAAGTTAAGTTTAGGCTTTAATGAAAAACTATTTAAAGAATATCATTCTTTTACCACAGACATAAGACTTTGCCGTAGGGTATACAAAAATGTGACCATTCATCAATTTTCAGAGTGCTGTATCTGTACCCGAATAGAAATAAAGATAAAATAAAAATTTTAATGAAACAGTTTTCTTCCGCTCTGAAAGTGAACGAATGACAAAACAGTCTAGAGAATTCCTCGCCCTGCTGTAGAAGATCAATCCTGGGTTGTGCTCACCAAAGCAAACCTCTTTTTTGTGTATTCAGTGTCTTAACTATGTAAAAGACAACTATAACAGGGTGAGTGGTTTCCTCCTGTTTTACTAACATTTAAAAACATTATTATTCAAAGGTAAATAGACAGCGAGTAGTAATTTTTAATCCATTTCTATCGGATTTGCAAACTTTTAAAATGATATAACACTTGTACGATCTCAAACTTATGTGATATGATACTGTTGATATAAATGTGGGAAGTAATAAAGTATTTGCAGGTGTACAGTGCTGTTTCTGAAATTGACGAATCCTCTTGTGATGAAGATTGAAGAAGCTATTGCCATCCAAGTGGAAAAAGTCCCGCCTTTGTCACCCTCCTCGAATAGAACTAAGAAAATGTGGAGACTATCTTCATTTAGTTCCCAATCAAGTGGACCAGATGTTGATTTGTTTGAAATGGACTGAGACTTGTGTTTCATATGCCAGGTTGAACAGGTTTGTGTGAAAATTTTGCTCGCAAATATAATTATTATACATATTATCTCGATTTAATTTTAAGAGTATGAGAGGTTATTCTTCTTTAACAATACGAATTTCCCTAGACGTTAGAAACGAAAAAGGATAGTATGATTCAAGGAAAAGATAAAAGTTTCTTCGTCGATTTCGCAACATACTATCTGTGGACATCTACAGAAATCGTCAGGATCTGTGCAACATCGATCTTAATCCTGATTCGCACATGAACAAGTGCCCTGTTCTTAACCCTGAGAGTCTCGGAAAATATCTCTATAGCAAGCTAGGTAGATATCACAAAACATGTCGTTTGAGGTACAGCAACTCGAGGGTGAAACAATTGAAGGGTAAATTATCTGAAGCTGTAAGTTTAAAACCTGTCTCTAAGGCAGGTTTTAAAATGGAAAGACACGTGTCCACGCACGACAACACCAATGCTGCATTAATGAGTGCAGGTATTGACGCTGTACGGACCTTTTAACTGGAGCAGGAGAATGTTTTACCAGAACTGTACCTCGTGTCTGACCCGAAGCTTAAGTACAATGACTATGTGACGTCTAATTTATCTGAGAACGCTGCAAACTCCAGCAATGTTTAATCTGATCACATCAGTTTTCAGAAAGACAATGTCGGTAAGACGAGTTTGTTTCGACAGCAGAATCGTATCTAATCTTGCCGCAACAATAGATGCGGATAGAGATGATAACACTTTAACAAAGACAGCACTCATAATATAAAGGAGATCAGAAAAGAAATCTTTCAATGTAGAAACGAATTCTATCAGCTATGTTCGATTTACTGATCGGTGGCATCTGTAGAAATATAGTGTTTATGTGGATTAATCTGTTAAAGCAGGGCTATTGTATCATTTTAACATTAACTTTGCATAGTGATGATACTTTTATTGTGTCTCTTGTGATTATCTATTTCTACAGTGTTACGGTACCACGAGGTTTCTGGCGCAGTAATGCGCTTTTGAGCAATATACGTCACGCGCCGCAACCGAATCAGATTTAAGTGCACTTTTTTCATTGTAAACACTACATACGACGCGCAACACGTTCTACGAGGTCGAAATTTTCGAGGTCTCTAACTCCGGAATAGAGCAATATTTAGACGATCTGACACTTTCTGGGGCTTAAGCAACCTAAGAGAAATTAGGGGAACAACTCAGAAAAAATTTTTAGTCGATATTCCGGTGTCTGTAGATGTCCGAAGTTTTGGCAGTAAAGTGCTCACAACACAGCTTCTGAAGGCTCTAGAAGGTTCCCGATACCGTCAGAGTGTTCAGTACACTCCATTCTATCATATAAGAACCCTAAAAGAAGTCCCAGAGCTCGAGCAGAGAAGTGCGATATTTGCCCGTAAGAGCCTCTACTATTATACGAAATTCGGTAAAAAACCCAAAATTGCCATATTCAGGTGCCTTAAAAACCATGTTAAAATTGAGTTAGAGATCTGAAACTTTGCAGGGCGTCTAGACGTTGACCAAATCAACTGTAAAAAAAATTTCGTGTTTCAGGAGTATCGGGAAATGGGTTTTCTGGTACCCCTGTTTTACGATAGATTGTATTTGTCGTGATACATATATTCAGGGATAGACTCTTTGCCAGTCAAATGTAGTCAATTGTAGCCTGAATTTAAGTGTCCGGAGATTCAAAAGTATAAAAGATACAGCAATTTCCGACCACAGGTCTTAAAGATAATTGTTTACACTTCAGTTTCAATTATATCAAAAAATAATTTAACGTAATCATCACCACTTGATGACGTCATCAAATTAAGTGTTTTTAAAACTTGATTTTTGACAAAATAACAACTTTTCAAACTGATTTTACACCATTAAGGAGTAATTTTATTCAAAATCTGAGGACATTTTTACCTTAGATAATTGTTCAAGCATTCTGAAAATCTACCGGAAAGTTTCCCTACCTTGCTCCTTCATAAAGATATTTGCCATTGAAGTTAGTGCTTTTTTGAAAAATTATTTTATAAAAACGTCAATTTTGCGATTTAGTATTCTCTGGTGTTGGGCTATCCCTTGGGTTGTGGAGCTCAGTTCTGCTTTCTATAGGTATAAATTGTGTATTAGGCTAGTTTTAAAGTTAAAAATCTAAAAGTTGCACACGTGGGGACACGCCCAACTTGATTAAAAATTGCTAAAATCACTGAAAATTGCTGTTTTTACCATTTTCTGTAAACGTCGGTGTGCCGTTGTGATTGGACGCAACGTCCGCTCATAGTTTGCACGTGCGAAAGGTGATAATTTTGCTCATTCGTGATTTCGAACAAATTCTGCTTTACCACGACAGTTCAATGTCATTATATATAAATTTAATGCCAACTTGAATGAGTATAAAGTGGCAAATTCAGTCAGTGATCGACCGATATGCTTACCCAAACACAAGGAAATGTTTTCAAAGGAAAAATTTTGAAATCGTTGAAACTTCCTCCTTATTAATGAAGATATCAGTTTATATTTCGACTTTATAAAGTACCCTGACATTAATCAAAAAGCGATGATATTTGACCAAAACCCATAATCATGGGTAGAGTGGACCGCTGCCAGTGTCTCTCTTTCCCAAACAAAAGGAAATGATATTAATTTGATTGACCGTTTTCAAATGCAAAATGATACCGAGAATGAAATCGGTCGCTCGCTTTTCCCAGTCATTTACAAATGTAATAGATTAAGAAGAACTACCATACCCGAAGACAGCTGTACTCGGCAATAAAGATTCAATAAACTTCAGCTAATTCACTAACTACCACCCTTATCCCGAAATACTAGGTATCGACCCGAACGCAACCCAAAGAGATTATTACAGCATGTGATCGATGTAATTTATCGAAACCTATTGCAATTCGTATAAGCCGTGAATGAATGGGAAAAGCGAGCGACCGATTTCATTCTCGGTATCATTTTGCATTTGAAAACGGTCAATCAAATTAATATCATTTCCTTTTGTTTGGGAAAGAGAGACACTGGCAGCGGTCCACTCTACCCATGATTATGGGTTTTGGTCAAATTAACATTAAGAATAAAGATTTGGCGGAATGACAGGCTGAGCGCGGCCCAGTAATAACGCATCGCGCTACAAGGCCCGATGGCACGTGCTACGAAGTAGCGCGCGCCGGGCCAGACCATTAACAATGGTCAATTTGAGTGCTGAGGCAAGCGCTATCAAGATTTGCGCGCAATCTATACATTCACACGTGCGCATGAAAATTGCTACATTGTTCATCCATGCACATGATCCAGCTTTTGTTTCGATTTATAGGCTACGGCTTGCTTGTTGCTGCTTGCGTCGGTTTTTGATTTATTTATTTTCGATACTCTTGGAGTTGAACATTTTGTTTTCTTGAACACATGAGGTTCAGAATCAAGCTGCATTAAGTAAAGGTCGTAAATTTGGAAACAGCCAAATTTCTGAAAACCGAGAGCAAAATTATGCTTATGCAACGGGATTCGTTGGAACTTTTAAGCTTTATTCTCCTTAAGACTAAGAGCATCACAAACAAACAATTTTATCGATCATCTGTCGTTTTAATTTTATTTTGCAGGGGAGCCTGGCCACGAACATTTGCGAACTGTGTGAATATTCAGCTTTAAGAAAGGTATAATGGTCGCATCTAGGATAGCCATCATAAACAAGTTAAGCCTTGAAATAAACTGAGTTATGGTTTGTAACAAGACAACAGCAAAAAATTATAGTTTATTTACAACAAGATCGCCAGTTTCTGATTTAGTTGTCAGTTGTGGAACATACAACAAGAAAATTGAAAATAATCTTGTGCGAGGGTAGGGACCCAGATGTCGTTTCTAACCCAAATAAACTTTAAGGAGGCTTCTCATCCCAGCCTTCTAGAGTTCATCACAAGTAGCAACCACCTTAACGAATGAAGATCCTTGACACCCAGACACACCCTATCGGCGAACAAACTTTGGATATAATCTTACATGCTCCCGAAGGAATCCCTGGTTTCGTTTATGGTCTTTCTCGAATCTCATCGTCACCATGACCAGCACTTTCACTAGATCACCAGCTCTTTCACTGAAGTCATATCGATTCCATATATCGTCATCGATTCCAGGATTTCGTTTTTGGCGCAATGCCAATAACCGGTTATTATTTAAAAAAATTAAGTATGCAATATTTCCACATTTTCATCATGACGTATATACTATATCATAAAACCAAACTAATGAGACAATTTTCATAGAAAAGATGGGCGATGACAAGAATGACCGACGCCGGCGGAGTACTCTAAGAGTAGAAGCGACTGGAACCTACTACAGTCCAGTCATTCCAGCTGGAAGCCAACGTATAAGCAATGGGGGAGCAATGAGGGAGAGTCGCATTCAAGGCAGCATTCGACCTCGGGGTCGATCTCGGGGCGACACTCTCATTCCAATACACCCACTCTTCAACAAGGGGAAAATACGACAGTTTCTATATGACGTTGTGGAGGATAAGCGGTTCCATTCCTCCATGTTGTTTATTATCCTGACTAACACCGCCTTGATTGGTCTTCAGACCGTCCCTTCAGTTCATAACAAGATTGGGTGGTATCTCAATCAACTGGATGTGTTTTACCTTGCAGTGTATTTTGTCGAGTGTATCCTCAAGCTTGGTGCTATCCATTTCAGTTATTTTAAAGACAGATGGAACGTGTTTGATTTCTTCATCGTTATAACCTCGCTAATTGATTTCGTATGGCCCATGATCATGGAGGACCAAAACTTATCTCTCGACACCGACCTTTTCAAGATTTTCAGACTCCTGAAAAGTTTCAGGGCACTGCGAGCATTGCGGGTAATCCGCACAATTCAGTTCCTGAAAAATCTTCAGATCACGGTGAACGCGATAATCCAATCCATTCCTGCTCTGGGAAGCATCATTATGCTTATTGGACTGGTTCTGTACATATTCGCTATTATCGGGAAAGGACTGTATAAAGACGTCGATCCCATACGTTTTGGAAATATAGGTTAGAGAAATTATAGATTACTAAAATTGTATAATAAAACAATCATTTTACGATTATGTAAATAATTTTATAGTAATAATCAATTAAAATCTGAAGATTGTGAACTTTAAAAAGGTTTCACAACGACCTAAAATCTGCAGGGTTTGCTGCGTTTAGTCTGTTCCAACTGATTACACTAGACGACTGGTTCCTGATGTACTCGGAAGTTCAACAGAAGCACCCTGACTACTGGCACATCCTCATCTATCTTGTTACTTTCATTGTCTTGGAGAACTTTATCTTCATCAACCTCTTCATCGCCGTTATCGTTGATAACCTGGAAAGGTTTGCAGAACACCGTTTTTTACATTTGCCATTCTTATTTGGATAGTTTTGTAAAACCAGAAAAGATGGAGTAGAGAGGAATAATCATATGTACCGCAACAGTTTACAACTGACATGTGTCAAAACTAATAGTGTGACTTTACTTTGAGCGGAGCCGCGACCCCTTACGGGACTACCTGAGCTTTTAAAATATTTTAAGCTTTCTGTGGACTTTCTGGACTTGAAAACTGTAGGGGAGGTTACACAAATGAAACTTCTCCTGATCTGCTGTGCCCAGAAACTATCACCAAACTACTGTTGTTAAATGTTCACCCAATGTTCCTTCACACAGTAGATACATCAATATGTCTTATACAGAGCCATGTGACGTCAATCGTGTTGCATGGTTAAAAATACTGGAACGGATCACTTTTTAAAATCAGGAGGCAAGAGTTGGACCATCGAGCTACATCATACATATCTGTAAATAATGTGTGTGTTTCTCTAATTTCTCTAATATCTACAGACTGCCTTTAATTTCCCTCCGTCGTGAAAAGGACGTATTCACATGTTGCCAGCTGACTTATTGCAAGCTTGTACGTGGGATTGTACTTGGCCTTCTGCTGAATAGTTCACTTGAAATTAGCCTGATTCTTTTCAATTGATTAATTGATTGCTCGAGGCAAGCTGTTTGTTGCATATTTATAATTAGGAGTAGGAGTAGGAGATCTAGGTACATATGTACAAACTTTAGGACCAGCTTGTTTTGTAATTGAGACTCTATTACTAAGCTATAGTACTATAGTACAACATCTTTTAGTCACATACAGACATAAAACCAAGGCAGCTGCACTGTGAAGTAGTATCTTGGCATAATGGCAACTCACTTTGCTTTGTAACGATCATTATATGCATTATTTGCTTTCCTTAAAACTATTTCGATTATAAAGTACGATTAAAATGTAACCGTTTCGATAGCATCGTAATTTTATTTCTATTCAGGATAACTGAACATCTAGCTCTGGCTGTTCCAGCTTCATGTTATAAAGATCGATCATGTGTTCTTAAAACTTTGCAATAGTTGCAAGTCTCATTAATGAAAATGCCTCAATGCTTGTTATCATTCACAGCATTCTTCACACTGTCCACAATTTGACATAATGTCTTGTTACTTTGTTTAGATTTAATGTTGATCATGTCTGAGGGCCGGTAGATTAAGGAATTCTCATTTCTCTCGCCCATGCTTAACAAAAAGGCCCCGTTGTGTTTACTCATACTACTGCTTCAGTACTCGCTGTAAAATATTTCTGTCGACTTTTTATTCTCGAAAAGCATTATCCATTATCAATAGAAACACCACCATGTTTCGACTCGTGTTTCGAAATTGTGTGAATTTCACCTTAATTGAGCCACATTTATGAATGAACGGATGGCGATAATTAAATCATCGGCACATTATCTACCACTTAATTAAGCATTCCTACTCGTTACCTTAACGCATCTACATGCCCTTCAATTATTTAATTTCTCGAATCTAAATTGAATCTGTGGTCCTGGAAACACGGAATAAAACCAGAAGATTGCTAAAACTACCCCTACTCCCTGGTACTCCCTCCCGTACTATCAGCCCGATATCATGTCAGGAGCTCCTTCCCCGTACGTGTAGCTATACGTGTGATAAGTGGGATATACACCACTATATTACCACTATGGTTCCACACAGTGTCCAGCTCTGAGCTTCTAACACCTTGTCCGGTTTAACGTGTGGTTTGTGCTCGGTGTTTTAGTGTTTGTTGGTACCTGGTGGAAACCACCACCTCCTTCACACATTAATTATTATTCAATTTTCGCCTGGTTCTATCCCATACCTGCCAGCTTTCTACTTCGTTCCAAAATCCAATATTCACCTAATCATTTCATCGCAGGGAGTATTCATACTCTAAACTTCTTCATGGTGTGCCACAGTCGACTGTAGCACTTAACCTCTAACTATCGTTGTTGAAGTTCTCTTTGATGGTCTATGATCAAAGACATTTTTTTAATAGTAACCTTTAATGAGATATTGTAACATATCATTACGGTTTAATGAGTTAGAAATTGATTTGTGTTTGTAATTGTTGTCTCCAGATTCTAGAAGGTTAATGAGCTGTCTCTATTTCCTCCCTACTTCTCTCTTGACTTTGACAAAATAGTCTGATTTAAACTTGCGGTTAAACTGCAATCAGAATTTACACTTCATTGAAGCGTTGTAAAGTTAGTCATCTTTTCTGTTTCTAATTTCCACCACACCACACCACACCACACCACACCACACCACACCACACCACACCACACCACACCACACCACACCACACCACACCACACCACACCACACCACACCACACCACACCACACCACACCACACCACACCACACCACACCACACCACACCACACCACACCACACCACACCACACCACACCACACCACACCACACCACACCACACCACACCACACCACACCACACCACACCACACCACACCACACCACACCACACCACACCACACCACACCACACCACACCACACCACACCACACCACACCACACCACACCACACAACACAACACAACACAACACAACACAACACAACACAACACAACACAACACAACACAACACAACACAACACGTCACACTTAACCCCACTGCACCACACCACATTTCAGAGCTCACGCTGCTGCCAGAGAAGAATCGTTGCAGGTGTCGGCTAGTGTAGAGTCGATGGACTCGAACGAGGTGGTCACAGCCATGGCTCTCGATGAGTAAGTTTAAGATATATTTCTGTTGAACAACCGACTCAATTAACTTGATTTGATTTGCAGCTTGTTAGGTAGGTAGGTTGTTGCTTCACTGTTAGAAATATTCAGCTGCTCAGCATATAATGTTTTCTAAAGTACACCAGAATCTCTCTTTCAGTCAAATATTGCACGTTTATTTCACGTCTTATTGATCGAAAGATTGGTTTCATGTTTTTGGTACAATTCATGCAGGATCTGGATGAGTGAATCGAATCAATAACTTTCTCGATGATTCCAATTTCAATTTGAACCAATGTTTTGAAATACAATCTCGCATTTCACTTATTCGGATCGGTTGTGTGTCCGTTGACTAAACATTTTATCGGACTATTTGATGGACGGGTAGTCCGTCCAACTGTCACGTGCACGAGCAGATCAAACGCCACAATTTCAACCTTCATTTTATTTCAGGAACATTCTGTTTTTTCTCAGCAAACTTTTTTTCACGCAAACTTACATTTCACACCAAATCACACGAAACTTTTAGAGATAAGATATTCGACGAAGTGCCCCCCTCGGGTACAGTGGAATTCTACTACGAGGGCCGGAGAGACAACGTTACCAAACATATCGCCCGTTACACTGAACTCATGGCAACCCTCGAATTCTACATAGAGCGCAGTCAGAGTCACACCAGAAACCTTAACAAACTCCTCGAACTAGCTAAACGGTCAAGTCATTGACACTCTATAATATAAAGATCTGTGCGACACAATGCGACACAGTGCGACACAGTGCGACAAAGTGCGACACAGTGTGACACAGTGCGGTCATTGTGTAATTTATGTTATCATGTTATTACTCCTACTGTTCACACACATTTCTAGGTTCATAGGACGGACTATATCGTATTCTATTGCACAAGTGTTAGATTCAAGTTACCGTGTCAAGGTTAGCGCCTGTTTGCCGATCTTATTCAACTTAAATCCCTTAAAAGTTCGGATGGAGTTTTATGGAGTTCGTAACGTTTTTGAAATGATCGCCCTCATGATAACTTACAATTCCATGGTGTTAGGTCACAAATTTATATGTTTGTCATATACATGATGACATTGCGATGTTTTAAATTTTCCCTACTTTTTTGTCAAAACATGGTCAAAATTGTGTGTGAATTTCTCATTTTGTTTATTTGGCACACGATTCACCTCGGAAGAAATAATAATGACATTAACAATACATATGTTATGCAGCTGCTGAAAATGAGTCATTGTTAGACAGATTTGATATTCCCCAAAGTTGGCTATCGTAAATAAATACCTCTGATTTCTCTTTGCTTCAGTCCCTCATTATTATAACTCGGACTTCTTCACAATGAATATCTTAGATATTTATATCAGTCACACTTTTTAGAGAATAATATTACTTTTTGTCAGTGTTCATGTTGCTTGATCCAGAATGTAGCATGTAGTATGGTAGTTTTATAAGAGTTTCAACACATATCAACTTTTAGCGTTCTTCACATGAGTCAGTTCACTTGTACGAATTCACTGTTCTGCTTATAACAAGAGTTACGTTTGATCGAAGCTACAATACTGAACTGTAAATGTTGTCATCAGCAGCCAGATATAATTCTTACAATCATAAGATATTATTTGTGATATGTATTTCTACATTTGTTTTAGTCATGTTCGATATCTGCTCCTTACATTGAACGTAGTCGTATATTGCTTAGTAGCTAGCAAATTATTATTCAGGCTATACTGAGCTGTGTAATATCAAAAGAGTATGAGACAATGAAAATCACCGTTTAATACTCCTAAACTGAATCTATATTTAAGTAACAATGCAGTGGTCAATGGTTATGTATTTTACGATCATCCAATACATTCAATATGAATATCATTGCTCACCTAAATTATGTAAGGTCCTGGTTCTTCCCACTTTTCTAATTTCCTCTCACCTGATAGAGACAATAAAAGCACATTACATGTTAATCGAGGTTTTTTTCATGATCATATAAATAAAATAAATAATATCTTATTTCATATTTTTATAATTCCATAACTTTATATTGTTGCCTCTTGTGTTTTGCAGAGCATTATTCAGTCAACCATATCCATTTATCTGTGTTGAGACTTGAGTGTATGTGGCAGGCTAATTGGGATTGACAGTACGTGACCAGTAATATAATATTATCATTCGAATTATTCTCTTTGGAATTGACTGGCAGAGTTACCGTGCTCATTTTAACATTTGAGAAGTTAGCAGCTTTATTTTGTGAATTTGTATTCAACTTTCAACCACTTTGCTTGAAGAATTTGTATTGAATGTTATGAGAAATATCCGGAATGAATGAGTGGCTCTCTTCTCTGATCTTTTATAATTAATCCGAATTATCCGATATTGTATTCTGTCATCACTTTTTTCAACGGATTCAAATTGACGTAACAGCATGGACAAATGCTCTGCTCACTGTAAATCTCGTTTTTGAATTTCTTCATGGGTGACGTATGTTGTTTAGGCTGACAATTTTATATTTTGTACCGTCAACAAATGGGCTCGTTAATTTTAGCCACGCCCACAACGAAGAATTGTCAATATGTGATAAAATTAAACTGTGATATTTATACTTAATTAGCAATCACTATTAACGCTATCAAGCTACAGCGATCTCTGTTGTTTAAACATAATTAATATCTTGACAAACCTATATTATATTGATGAAGGAGCAAATATGTTGCTCCGTGTAGAGATGACCGTGTAATGAATTCTTGGCTGACTTCTTGAAAAGTTTTGCCCACCCGCTGTGCATATATATCAATTTCTATATGTTAAGATAGAGTGAAGATACATATCTTTGATATCAATTGTGTTGGTTGTATAGTTTATCTGCTTGTATTCGAAGTTTTCTGATATATATAATATGAAGAAGCTGTGTCATTTCGTGAAAATTTCGTGCATATAGTGCTTAATAAAATCCAATTACTTTGACATATACAGTCATAGACTCTATACTATAGAGGAGTTCTTAACAACTTTCAGCGACTCAAAGTTATAACTTATGTACTTATTAGGTTTAAACGCCGCCTTTTGGTCATGGTCAAGGCTTCGCATTGTTCATGTTGCTAGTAAGGGGCTCGACAGTCATGTAATCCACTTTTCCGATCATAATTTAATTGTTATATGGTTTATTGATGTTATCGTTTGTTTAATCTACTTTCGTCTTTATATAGATTTTATGGAATAAAACAGATTTTATCTGATCGCTCGAAGTAGAACTGGATAGAGAGCTGGTCAGGACGCTGATGTTGAGTTATGAGAGCAGACTGAAGCTGTTGCCGTCCTCATGTCTCAAGACAATCCTCCCACGAGTTGCTTCTCCTGCACTCGCTTCACAAATACTCTTTCAAGGTTCGTTTTGTTGCTGTTTCGTTTTCAAATTTACCCGGTTTTCATGCTGCTCTATTGTTTAAGACAAGTTTTCTGTTTAACTTTAAGTTTAACATACGACTAAGTAACTGAAGATGTAGAATCTGCTCCATTAACATTTCGAATCCCGGCAACTTGATAAACATTTCAGATTAGTGCGACGAAATAGTATAAAGCCTTACGAAACTGATACCTCAGATAAGGTAAATAAGTCAATTTAGAATGTCAGTAGTTTGAAGATCGGCAAGTTTCCATAAACGATATTTTATGATCGGCGCCGATAATCGCTTATTGAGCGCTTTCTCGGCGTTTTTTTTAAAAAACCGTTTATAATCGATTTTTTTACGATTATAAACGGTTCAAAAAAAATCGCTTATAATCGACTATAATTGATGTCATAATTCAAAAAAGCGCTTTTTTGAATTTAAAAGCGCTTATAAGCGCTTTTAAGCGCTTATAAGCGTCGCTGAGCGATTTGAAAGCGGTTTTCCAGTAGGATTGGCGCCAAAAACGGGTGGATAAGCGGTTGGCCGGATAAGCGATTCGTAGGCGCTTTTTTGAACCATTTATAAGCGATTATAAGCGCTTATAATTGGGGTGCAATTTAGCTGTTTGTAAAGCGCAAATAAAGCGCTTATAAGCGCTTTTAAAATTGAGTCAGGAAAACGCTATATTACATCTTATAACCGCTTATAATCGATTATAATCGCTTTTTAGAAATCGCTTATAACGGCTAATTCATCGCTATTTTACCGCTTTTACCGCTTTTCCTATCATCCATGGCCAGGTGAGCAGGAATTAAAAAGCGCTTATAAGCGCTTTATTTGCGCTTTACAAACAGCTAAATTGCACCCCAATTATAAGCGCTTATAATCGCTTATAAATGGTTCAAAAAAGCGCCTACGAATCGCTTATCCGGCCAACCGCTTATCCACCTGTTTTTGGCGCCAATCCTACTGGAAAACCGCTTTCAAATCGCTCAGCGACGCTTATAAGCGCTTAAAAGCGCTTATAAGCGCTTTTAAATTAAAAAAAGCGCTTTTTTGAATTATGACATCAATTATAGTCGATTATAAGCGATTTTTTTTGAACCGTTTATAATCGTAAAAAAATCGATTATAAACGGTTTTTAAAAAAAAAGCGCCGAGAAAGCGCTCAATAAGCGATTATCGGCGCCGATCATAAAATATCGTTTATGAAAACTTGCCTGAAGATCTTCTCCAAAAAACAAAAAATATAAAATAGTAATCAACAATCCGGCAAATTATTGACAATTTTAAATAAAAACTTGATTTGAAGTCAACAATTTTTCAGCACAATGTTAATGGAACCACTGTCCTCAAAGTTTACCAAAATGAGGCTGCTCTTAAAATGGAAAAATCTGGTAAGTCTTTGACTTTTAATCGATTTTGTTAACGTCCTGTGCAATTGCAAACCATGGTGTGACTGTGAATGGCAGTGTCTTTAATTAGAGCTGCGAAAATGACACGAGTGCACATGCATGCATAATTTGCATATGCTTAATTGCTTACGGTTGCCATTATGCTGCCGGGGAGTGTGTACCATTGTACCAAAAGGATCCTACCGCCACAAGACACGGAGATCGACACCTCGTCCACTAGTTTGCTATGGTCACCATTTTTTGTGCTATTTCATAATTTACTATCGAAAGTTCCGGTTGGCGATTCAGTTAATCGGTGTTCTAAAGAAGTTTCTGTCACATCCGTGTGCCTTCTTAGTTCAGATTGATAAACGTCTGTTTACGTATGTTTACGTCAGGCCAAAATATTTGGTGTAAATTCTACGAATGGTACAATAGCGAGAGAAAAGCAATTAATTAAGCTGTCATGCCTGATATCATTACTCATTGGATTTATAATCGATTCAACCATCATTCAGTTAAATAGCTTGCGTCCATTCTACATCAAAATGCAGTTCTGTTATTTAATCCTAATTATGCTGGTTCACGCGGCCCGAAATTGACCAGAATCAAAAGTTTGTATTTTCAGTCATTTGGAGCGTACGTAATAATTTATAAATGGTGACAGTGAAACGGTTCAAGTATTTAAGATAAATATAACCACAGTATTATCGATACACTTATAAGCTATAGACGGAGACCCTCTCGTTCTTGGTCTGATTACTGTACAGTTTCTTGAGACCTCCCTTAAGACCACACTCGTACATGAAATATTTATATTGATTTGTGGTCAGGTACTTCGGATCGTGCATATTAATAAAAACTTCCATGTTTTAGTCTTTTCTTGAGAGATCATCTCGTCTTTGAAAACGGCAAAACGGTGTATGATTGATTATAATTTTACATTGTGTGCAATACTGCGTTTCATAAATGAATGGCAGTATTGCTGATTGCAGAATTGCACCCAATAAAAGTCATATTTCTAACTTCAAGTTTCAGTTGAAATGCAGTGAACATTCTGAACTACAGTGTTTCCATGGTCACACTAATTTATAAAAAAATATTAGTTCGATCAATCTGAGCTGCGGTCCTTTGAAAAATGTCAAAGACTGTCCACACTCACAATTTCTTCAAGCTATTCAAAACAAGACCTCAAACTGTAAATCAAAATGTCAACTTTACCGCTGGACTACTCCTTCTGCAATTTAAAGTGGCTCATTTATTTTAATCAAATAATTCACTCGATATTTTATCAAAGCTTTTTGTCCGCTGCGATAAGACTAATCAAAATATCTTAATACAATCACTATCACTTGTTAGTTCAAAACTTGGTTGTCTATGGTTTGTTTTATATGATTATGATGCCTGAATAAATAGTTCTTTTCTTAGCAAATTTAAAGCATCTTATGAAGTATATTGTAGTGATTTGTAAATCTGCTTTTGTCCCTTTATTTGATTTGTCATATTCCTCTGAACGCAAAACCTAATTTTAGCGAAGTGGTGGCCAACACTGAACGGGTGTGTATTTTAGCACTAGCCGGCGTAAAACTATTTAGTCTAATGGTATGTCCATGTCGAGTACTAGAAGCAGACATATGGGTGTCATTCGTATGACAAAGAATTTCGTCGCAGGCTTTTACTAGATCGTTAAGTCTTCTCCCTTCTAAATGTTGTATGTGTAGCTCTGAAGGTTTAAGCTTGGAAAATATGTTTTATGTTGTCCAATATTTTCCTTTTTTTCTTGTAAAAGTTGTTATGTTTATAAACTTTATCGATCAAAACTCCACAATAGTTTCGGAGTTTTAGATTTCCATCCTCGTAAACACCCTTAATATAAGTTCAGGAAGATCTTGTTTTATAATGTTTTGCTGTAAGATTTATTCTGTTTTTTAGTTATACTAGACAGTATTGTTGTTTATTCATAAACTACCTATCGCTTACACTTACAGTACAACCATTTAGAATTGGCGGTAGAGATCTCTGATAATAATAATAGAACTAGAAGGCCTTATTACGGTTATTTTACTCGAAACGCTAGGAACTTAGATCATACTTAACTTCACTAAATGTATTTTTGACCTTAGAATCGATTAAAAAGTGATCCGGTAGAGATTGGATTAATTTCTATGCGTATTTCTATTGTCTGACCTACTACTAAAAAACCGCCAATTCTAAATTAGTGTATAGACCTACTAGTGTAACCCGTGCCTACGGCCGGGACTTTACTATCGCAGTTGAAATGCAAAAGTATAAACCCGCCTATTATATTCTAAAAAACGCTTTACATTTTCGTAGTTAAAACGATGCGAAAGTATGAACTCACTCAGTCCAAACACACCGCAATTTAATTCTGAATGCCCGTCACGTATCTAATGATAATACTTGATAGGCAATCTTGAGGTCCCCTGCCAAATTACCTAATTATATAGCAAATCTGTTATAAGGGGAGAGAGAGCGAGAGTGGGAGAGAGGGAGATTAAGTGAGACACTTTAGTATCACATTTGTGTCACAAAATTATCAACTAAATTTAAACCATTTACCACCGACCGATTTGAAAAACCTTATTCATTTAGCTTCATCAGAGTTTTTTCGGCACTATACCGAAACAGACCCACAGATTTTTTGGGATCATTAGTAGAGATTGTATTTGACAGTTGAGATTGTCATCAACAAGTTTATGAGTGTCGTGTACATTGTGATCGTTTTAAACCTATACCTCGTTTTTATCTGGAACCAGTAAAAGTATTTTGCTTTTATTAGATTCCTCAATCTTGCATCACTTTTTAAAGAAATTTAAGATCAATTTTAAGTCCCTGTTACAACGCTAGACTGATGCCGAGAACTAGGAACATGTCTTCTGAAGGTAAGAGCCCCTCCCCCCTAGCCTCTCGTTTTTATTTAGAACCAGTAAAAGTATTGTGCTTTAAAAAATTGACTCTTAATCACAGTGCTGGCAAGCACGACCGTGGCTTTTATACATTTTATACTATTATACTAGGGTTGCCATTATCGGTACAAAATTTTGTATCGCGATGATCGATAATTTTTTCAAAATTATCGCGATAATATCGGTTATCGGCCATGAATTTGGCAATATAATTGAAGTAATATTTTTGTATGCACTCTGCATACTTGAATTTTGCTCCTATATATTATACTCTACGTTACATTGTAACATCATCATTATATAGTTAGAAAATGACATAACAATGTAGCTATTATCATTAATTGAATTTGATTTTCTAAAATGAAACATTGAGTCAGATTTAATCTAATTTAATAATTTTTTAACAATTGTAATATAACAACTATAACAGCCAAAAAAACAATTGAATCAAAGAGAAGCTTTTCTGCCGTTTCCTCGATATGACCGAAATTTCGCTGTTTGATTCAAACAGCGAAATTTCGGTCATATCAAGGAAACGGCAGAAAAGCTTCTCTTCAAAGATAATCCAAAATATCTTTTTTTATTTTGATAATTTTCTGTTTATCAAAACTTTCTTTGGTATTCAACATGGAAAAAGTCAAAACAGTTTTCAAGTATTAAACTACTAATAGATGACATTTATTTCCACAAGTCATTACTTATTCTCGTACATTTGTGCCTTAATCAGAATAGATAATTTTGTTTAAAATCGCATTCTCCCAAATTGCTGGACTACAATGCCCCCCCCCCCCCCCCCCCCCCCCCCCCCCGGTCCCCCTACCCATGTGGACTGCAAAACATTTTAGCACCATTGACCCAATCGGATGAACATTAGGACGACTGTGCTAAATCAAGCTATTTTAACATGTAGTTCTTAATCTTATACGTAAATCCTCGCCAAGTCCTCCGGTTACACAACTGTTTGCATTGTACTTCACTTTTCACGCGAGATTATGGGCTGTTTTAGTTTGCTGTACGATCTGTTCTGTTGCTATACCAGTTCTGCTTTCACAACGTGGCTAAGATCTTGTGACATAAGCAAAGGTAAGCTGCAGTCTATATTTAACCCGCTAACCGTGATCTGGTGATGAAGTACGCAGTGAGCTAATAGTAATACTAATATATAAAGATGATTAATATGTTGACGGATCATGCAGCGGATCATGACATTACACGTTACACAAGGGCTCGGGACGTGCTCCGAACTGCTGCGGAAGTAATTTAAAGGGCATTACGGAGAGGCATTAGTTTGCAGTGAACTAATACGGGGGATTATATGATTACTGGCTGCTAATGTGGGGTGGCTGCTAATGTCTGATTAGATTGTCTGTCACTTGTTTTGTGGTGTTCTTAGTCAGAGTTGTGCCGCTTCATTTCATGGTTTGACGTGTGCATGGTGAAACTTCTCATGAGTTATGTGGCGCTTGTACGGTGCGTCTCCTTCTTATTATTATTCAATATTGAGGTTGTGAAAACTGAGAGAACTCTCCAGACTTAGTGCTTTAGTGACGCCTTTTTCTGACGATTTACTCGAATAAAATGATTTTGGAGTGCAATCCAATGCAATATTCTGACAGTTGCAGCTACAGGATCATTTAGATTAATCAATAAATTGTCTGCGAATGTAAATATTGACTATATGCGAGTAAACCTTACAAACCTTGTATACTCTGAAAGTTTCTTTGTAAATGAAAACAATTTATCCACCAGATCGGTTTTCAAGATCTTTGCTATTTGGTTTAAACTTCAAAATCGCAAAAAAAACAGCACGATGTTTGGCCTCTCAACGTGTTTAAATCATGATCCGAATGACGTATTGTACAAGGCTGCTTCAATCATTTGCAATAAGATACTACAGTTCTCTGAACTGGAGTTTTCATGATAGTCAATGGTATTCATTTTTTCATTGAGAAGAACACGTCTTGTTAGATATCATATCCCAACATTAATCGACACCTTTGCTAGCAATTAATTTACTTGTTATCTCATATCTGTCCCAATACAAGGTTTCCTTCTCTCCCAGAAATAACATGTTCATTTATCTGTACCACTCAAAAAGTTCGCTGTTTCGTGTGCTTATTAATGAAACTCTTCAGATGAGAAGTTTACATGGTATGAACATTAGATCACGTGGTATGAACATCAAATCAAACACGTTGACCAGGGAGAATAGTGTAGGAACATAATTTGTTAGGTCGACAGTTCATTGTCCTGAATGTGTACGCTCTCGTGTACTCTGTGTAATAGTTATCTATAAATATCATTCTTGACAAGGGTATCATTGACAACATCGCCAATTAGCAGAGATTATTATATACGATATTTGGCTAGGGTCCCCTTATATTGGACGAATAAGAGCCCTGCACAATAAACTACGTCATTCTCCGCGAATAACGGACGAGTCAATTTCCTAATATTAAAATGTAACGCGACGTCATGTTTTTTTGCCAGGAACCATTTCACCGAGTCTAATATTGTCCAATAGCAGTTTCGTAACGTCTCCAACTTGGAATATAGAATTTTATACCTTTTTTTTCTAAAATCCTAGAATTCGGATCATGATTGTACTTGAAGATCGGGAGAGTTTAATGGAGAAAGATTGTGCCGACACTTATATTCATCAAGGTATTCTTGCATATTTTTATGATCGCACCTTAAGTTTTACAAGGCATCATTAGTAACTTGTTAAGATTTATTGATTCTTGCCGTTCAAGAACTCGCTACAAAGATAAATCATCAAATACCACGTGGTCGTCACGATTGGTTAGAAGTTTGACACATCTTAATAACCATATCAATAGTTAATTAATCTTCACGGTGTCCTGGAGTTAATTTATAGTTAATTAGCTTGAATCTAGGGCTGATTTGTCATATTCAGTAGCGTTACGGTAGCGTGATGCTCTGTATTACTAATATCGAATATTATTGGGTAGATCAATTGCTTTATCACAGCTAACGCTCTGTTGAGCTTCAGTACCAAGATCCTCATTCATTTGGCTGTTGTATTAAGGATAATCAGATCGCTACTATCACAACTTGCTCAAAAATTCCAACGGTCCCAAATATTTTGAAATACTTTCTATTGTAAATTACAATAGAAAGTATTTCAAAATTGTAAGGTCATTTGGATTTCACTATTTAGTAGTGTTGTGACACCCGTCGCGTGATCAGCATGGTTGGCTCCTGCAGAAACTTCTTTTCATTAAAAGTGTAAATGAATGCTTGTCATTGGCTTTGTGAACATTAATCCTTGTCTAATCGAAATCCCATAATGAATAATGATAAATGGTAAATTATGTTTGCTTGATTCACTAGTCAGCTAGTCAGCTAGACAGATTTAGATCTAACAGTGAACCGTGATATCATATACGTCACAATTCTCCAGCAATTACTTGTGGGCTTGTCTCGACTTAATTGAGCTGTCTTTGTTCTAGTAATTTAGATACATAATTGCGCTCGAAGATGCAATTATTAACAAGATGTGAACTCAGATTGCCTTGTTTCCTGGATATAATTTCCAGACAAAGCTACATCACACCAGGCTATTATCTCCACTTCTTTTTCTCGACCACTGTGGATTTTTAATATACTTTTCGATTGGCACTCTGACTCTGTTGAATTCCTCCGCACGCAATCGTAATATTTTTTGTATTACATGCATAATGACAGGATATATTCATCCTTCATAAATTTCGCTACCATTTATAAGCATCTAATTCTAGTCATGGCCATAGTAATTACATACAGGCCATATAATAGTAATCACATAAGGGCCAATCTTCGAAATTAAACCATGCTCAAGTCAATACACAATAAGAGTAATGATTTTCTTGAGCCAGTGCAGCAGTTTTCTTATTTACGCAATACGTTGTGGTGGCAGTATAGTGTTAGAAATATGGTCCGACTACTCTGATTGAGTTGTTGGTCACGTTTTCCTCAGAATAAGTACTTTTGGGTATGACGTACAAAACTCCCTCATTACTCTTTTAAAATATTACATTTAACAGATCACTATATCACTGTATACTTATAGTACTATAGTATATATGTCATTACGGAAACTCTTTGTTCCGCTGCAATTGACCGGCTCGAGCTTCAATTTTTATGGCTGCTTTATATAACAAAGCAGGTTTCAATGTTTACGGTCAGCCCAACTGATCAAATGTGACCCTGGTATATAGTTAAGATACTTGGAGCTGAAGTAATACCCTAATGACACTGACGCGCGAAGTCACGTGCCCACTGCCTCCACAACATATGATTGTACTGTCTACTGCAGCAGGGCGTTCTATAAATACTTTCCCCGGTCCCGCCTGCCTCCTCCTCTGTGTGATTATATCTAAATCTGGAAACTGCTCATCACGTGGCTATTTTCTCTTTCCTGATAGGCTCTCGTTTCGCGTGGTGGCTGCTGGTTGGACAGCTGCTACCGTGACTTGGACCTGTAAATCCTTGTGGGACAAACTTGGCACTATTCTGATTCGTAGTAGTAAATATACTTCGTGACTGGTTCTATATTCATAATCAGGCTCTTCAGATGGGCTTACTTAGCCTGTATTTCTCACCGTTTCCAAGTTTACAAATTAATAGTAATTATCTTTGTAGAAAATTAGCAATTTTAACTGGGCAGAACGGTGACAACGTATTTCTCACGCTTTGTTTGCAAGTTTTCCTCTTAACTAACTGAATTGTGAATGTTCTTTTTGTACTCTTTGGAATTCACTTCATACGTTCCATCATGTCACCACCATCTACTGAATATGGTGAGTTCGGATGGTTTATTTGTAATCTTAATTCCAACATACTATAGAGTATAGAGCCTACTTTTGCTCATGGCTTCCTAGTGGTGTTGGGATCCTGAAGTTGTCATCTGGTCGTTAGTATGTACTCCTACAGTAGTAAGTTAGTACATGAATTTAAGAGAGCTTTCGAACACGTTGCATAGTATATATTGTCAGTTAGAGAAATAATTATCAAATTTTTATAACGAATAAATATAAGTATAAAGTGATATTTTGATCAATCCAACCATAATTCTCACGTGTTAGATTACTTTCACATTTTGATTATATCGTGTTATTCATAGCTACATGCTAATATCTTGATTTTGATCTAATGTAAGTGAATTTGAAATCAAGATCTGCATAATACATATTCAATATTTATCTTTAATTAAGTACTGATGTATAATGTTGACCGCTTGATGTTCCGAAATATTTAATGCGCAAAATTTCTCAGGTCATGCTACAAATAGCGTGAAAACGATTTGAAAATACTTCGGTTTGCTTCGCTGACATGAGAAATAATGCCATTAGAGAATGAAGCCCCTCAGTGCTGTAACATTAAATAAAATTTAGCCGCACAGTCACGAACCTTTAGTCCTTACTTTGACTTTCTATAGTTAGTATCTTATTTTCTACTTCCATAGCTTGTCAAAATATCCCAACTCCGAGACTGCTTTGTTGTTACCATATATGGGCATGACAGTGACAGGTGGGTTAAATCGGTGGAGATGTTATCTTTATCAACGTTAAGAATCTTAAGATAGCCCGTGACGTTGATATGAATTGTCTAATTGTGTACTTAGTAGTTTTTTATAACATAGCAGGCCGACTCCTTTAATTGATATTACACGTATCGGTATATTAACATGACAATTTCTCGCATCAAATTTTATTCGGTCATATTTTTAGACATTTTGTGACATTCGTATTTCGTGTGGTACCAACGTCAGTAATCAGTATCTATAAATGATGGATTCTTCTGATATCGGTTACTGTCAATGACAGTGTCATTAATTATTTATATTTAATTTTTAACGGGACTTTTTCTTGAGGAAATATAAATTTGGATACATCGAGATTTTGCCTCGTTCTTCAATGAAGAATGTTTCCGTGTGTTCACTGTTCATGTTAGTTACAACCACATGAGAAATAATCTACAAGATTGCGCAATTCCATTTATAATTTCAGAGTTAGAGGAACAATTTAGGATAGTGGATCTCAACAAAGATGGGTTTATAGACGCCGAAGAGCTGAAGATGGTCATGAAGAACCTGGGGATGAAACACAGCGATGAAGAGATATCGTTAATGATGCAGCATGCCGATATTAACGGTAATGTGCACCCCTGTTAACCCTTAATACTATAAATTAAAGGATTTCCATTTCCAACTTTATAGTTTAGGAATTAGGATTGCAGTGCATAACTGATTAGTCCGTCAACGTAAATTAAGCGTTTATATTTTTATATAAACGATGAATTTCTGAGGCCAGGCTAGGTAACCTTATTTTATGCATGTGCCAAGTATAAGTATAATAATATATCCGCAAACAGTGATCGTCAATTGCTTGATTTTGGGGAGCAATGATTTATAGGCACACTGCACAGTCATAAACCTTACAAAATAGCAAAATCGTTAATCAATTACTCCCACGAAATAAACAGGCAGCGGGAAGATCGAAGAGGACGATTTCATGAAAGTAATGTCCGATTATTTGGACTCAGAAAAAGAAGAGACCCTCGACGTTAGAGATCTATTTGACTTCTTTGACTCAGATAAAGATGGTTTTATTTCCCAACAGGAGCTACAGGTGCTACTTTCCCTACTTTTAACATCAATATTTTTGTGCTATTTGAGTACTCGCCAGTGTAAAGCACTTGGAGACTGGACTGTAGACATAGTATTACTATTAACAAGTGTTAATTTTAATTTTTCAGTTTGCGATAAAAGAAGTGTTACAAGACTCTATCTCAGCGAATGAAAGTTTGTAATTTTTGTTGTATTTTTGCTTTTTAAGTTAGACTTTACTGATTGTAGAATCGCGAATGCAATGTTGCATGCGCAGCTCGCAAGGCATTGGTATTTCTACTATTGTAACTACTTATGTTTCTTCAGTTGAAACGATGATGAAGCTAGCTTGCAAGAAGGCACGCAAATCAAAAGACGCTATGATATCTTTTAGAGGTGCGTTATTGTTCAATTTCATTACCATCTGAACTACTGTGATTCTTAATTCTTTATTGGGTGGAGGTTCATCCCGACAAATCCAGATTTACGGTTGAAAAATTTGATACGTTTTTACCATCGTCGGGAACAATTTGAATAACAAATAATAAATAATCATTAATTAGTTTATACATTTAATTTTATCAGATTTCCAACTGTTACTCGAAGATGTTGGCTTCACTGCTTGAGACTGAGTCAACGAATATGTGACTAAACCAGACGTCAAGTAGCTTTAAGTATATTTGAACATGGATCCGATTTTACCACTGACGAGTCGATTGACGATGCAATGCTACTAATACAATTTCGTCGTGCGAGAAGCTTTATTTCATGTGCGGTGCGGCCAGTAGTGCATCGCGCTACAACTGTAGTAGTGCATCGCGCTACAACTGACGAGTTTAACTTAAAACAAGATATTATAGTAATGTAAATTTCAGCAAGATGCTTGTGATTAGATAATTATTATATACTGGACCACTGAGAGTGAGGACGTTATTTAAGAATCTTGAGACCGTTCTGTTAACATGTTAAAATATTCACGGATAGCTTGACAATTAAAATATCCGAAGAAACCTTTAAAAATGCTATACCACATTTGACTCGCAAACTAATTTAAATGATTTTATTAATTTGCTGTTTTTATCAAAAATTTGCTTACCGAACATTATTTGGTCGGACATTACGTGAGCGCTGGAGACCTCTGCGTTTGCATAGCATAATGTCCGACCAAATTAAAGTCCGGCAACCATGTACGTGCAGAGAAATGTTTGCATCCACCCAAAATAATGTCTGCACTCGATGCCGCCCAAATAACTTGAATTTATCGACCCGTTGCTCAATTTGTATCAGTGCTATAAATGTACATAATGTTTCTCTTTAAATTTGATGTTTGTTCTATAGATGTTTCGAGGGAAGCACACCATATCCATATTTTACTATTTTATAGCGTAGGCCGTGTTTCAGTTTGACTTTAGTCGTGATGATAACATTCATTTATAATATGAGAATTTAAATTATTATTATATTATAATAAATTGACCTTTGCTTGTATTTAGTTTGTTTACATATTTATGTAGAACCAATTTGTTTTCTAAACTAATGAAGCGAGCATTTTAATTTCTCTTAAGTGGAAAATAAAGCACCAAGAAAAACAACCATATAATGTTACATTTGTGAGGAAATTGATAATTTTATTAAGGAAGTAACGAAATACAATTAATAATCATCATGCACTTAAGCAATCAATCAGCTCTGGCAATATTATATCCCTTGAATTCAGGAAACTAATTACTTATTTTAAGTATTGACATCAACAATTTAATTTACTCGTCTGTCATTGCTAGCTTATCTAGCGGCCCTTATCAAGGTTTCACCCTTTACAGTATAAAGGCTCTGGACTATTTAGCGATATCCAGGTTATAACCCTGACCTTCACCTAGTAATTACTTTACAACAAGCCTGAAATACCAAAATAATACCGCATAAATAGTCTCGAAGCTCAGGTTTGACCCATTCGATATAAGTTAGAACGTATTTACATCAAATATAAAAACTATGATCCCCTACTTGAAAACTTCGGACAAGAAGAATGTTTATGAAAATTCACAAAATTCGTTATATCTGTGTCTACTAACTAGTTGCTAAAGCTAAGCTAATTATGCTATCAAATAGGAATAGAATGATAAACGTAAACAAATCTGTTTTCGGAAAATTAAACTTCAGAAAAATAACAATAACTGAATACTGATCACATCGAAATTCTGATTATTTGTGTCTCTGAGTTTTTGGTATTTCGGTAAAAATAACTTATTAACGGAATAAATTCAGATAGATTAATAATGTGTAATCATAAACACATTATGATTACACATGGCAAAAACGTAGATCTTTAGTCAGCCACGGACGCAGGTTCGCCACTGCACTGATAGATACTGATTTTCTTCAGACGTCAGATTAAATGTCAAACAAAAATGTCGTTGATGTCAAGAATATCATCATGTTTCCGTTAAGAAAGCTGAAGCATAATCAGACAAGCTGCTTAAGAACTATCTTGAGAGTAGAAGGAAGGGAGCTACCCAGCGACATCATCTTCGTCTTTACTGTGTGCAGAACTTCATCATAAAGTTGGAGTTGCTCTCGGCACTCTGCTAGGTCCTCTTTTTGTCGATTCAACTGACGGGAACATTATATTAGCGTACATAAAAGTATTTCCAACAAGCTGGCTGGAAATTATCAGCATTCCTGTCAAATGTGTACATCACAGAGAGTCGAGAGAGGATCTTCTAAAAAAGAGGGAAAATATGCTTACCTGGAGGAGGTTTCGCTCGCTGTCGATCTCCAGTTTTTCGTAATTTTTCTTTCCCTCTCTCAGTTGCTCGGTCAGCTCCCCCAGACAGTACTCATTTGACTCTAACTGCTGCGTGTACTCAACTATCGTGTTTGTCAGCAACTTGGCTTGTCTGTCTCTGCTTTTTGCTCTAAATGGAAAATTCTTCATGAAAAAGCTGTACCAATAGCGGTACCGGGTACGGTGTTTTCGTCATTAGAAATCGCATTTTTTTTAACAATTTGACTGCCTATCTTATCTTTCGGATCTAACACCAAAAATTCTTGCATATGGAACCAAACATAAATTTAGCCCATTTTACGTTCTTAGTGAGTTTCTCACCTCTCATTTTGATCTACCAAGGATGCTTTTAACTCAGTGATAGTTCGCTCCAACATAGCCTTGTCATCCCTAAGAGAGGATATTTGTTTCCTCGTTTCCCTGTTGATGGAAACTGAACCAGCCAGATCCTCGAGAATCTCCACTGCAGTAATTATGTAAAGCACATTTCCTGAAAGGTTAGGCGGTCAATAAACTCAGAATTGAATAAGTCATTTGTAAATACCATACACACACATAGACATTGTCAGTGGCATCCATGTAAGGTTTTAATGGAGGGGGCCCTTCCAATTAAAAATAGCGAAAGGTCTATTAGTTTACGGAGAATTATCCCATTAAAATAACGTGTTGTCTCACCAATAAGGGGAGGACAAGAAGGCTGTATTTGATACTCCGTGTAGTCCACATTGTGTTTGTTACATAACGACGGCAGTAAAGGCACCAATTTCTTGCGGAGAAAATCGCACATCTCGGAGGTATCCTGAATCAGTTCGTTACAGGTGTTGTACTGTTTGGCTATAGTCTCACTCTTCTCCAGCAGGGAGGAGTACTTCTCTTGGAGCTCCTCATCTGCTTCTCTCAACGCAGCAAACTCTTTTCTTGTTTCAGTCAGTTGCTTGTAGATTTCGTCAAGGGTAACTTCTCGGCTGTCCCGTTCGTCGATCAGAAATTCCATTTCCGTTCGAATTTTGCTTTTATTGTGCCTCAGCTCTTCGAAGTCTTTTTTTAGTGTCTCTAGATCGGTAGTACTCGAACTGAGTTTTGAGAGTTCTTCTTCAAGTCTGGAGATTTTAGTTTCGTACATGGAGCATCTTTTGTTGGCATCGTCCAGCCGATCTTCTAATTGTATTCTCTGTTCGGTTTGTTCAGTCATTTTGTTGTTCTTTCGGTCGAGGGCTGTGGACAAGTGACATATTTGCATCTCCAATTCCTTGTGTGAGTTCGATAAAATGTCGTAGTTTTGTTTTTCCGACAGCAGATGCTCGCGGGAAGTGCAGTTTTCTCCAGTACAAACTTTAGATTCTCTAGACACAGTCAGCTCTTCCTTCAGCTCTTCGTTCTCTACTTGAAATGTCTCTCTCTCAGCGGCCAGCAGATCAAGAGCTTTCTTTAAATTTCGAGCCGAACATTCGTGTTTGTCCCGGTCGATATTGGATCTCATTAACTTTTTCCTAAGAATTTGAACTTGAGTCTTCTCGCTGAGGCCGTCCAGTTCAATTTGATTTTCCTGGTCAGACGACACCTTGGACCGGAATGATTCTTCCAGTTCATCTTTTTGTTCTTTCCTGAAATGTATACAGATCAGTATTCGTATCAGTTTGATTTAATTATGGAAGACGTAATTTAGTGCATTCCTGACATTTATTTACAGGAATTATTTGGCGGTAAAATTTGAAAGAAGCTTGCGCGAAAATAGCTTTCGTTTGCTCATTTTCAAAACGTTCGGAGTTCGCGCCCGCACAACTTGTTGTTATTGAGCTATATCGATAATATTTATTGAACACATGACACTAGGACAGACATGACCGTCAATTCGGCCCTTCTGAACATTGTTTTGAATAAATTCAATTTATTCAATTACTACTTTTATTCTCCTCGCATTATAATTCTACCAGGATTCTACTTTAATGCTCATTCTCGCATATTTACACTCATCAGCTCGCCGTTTTAGATCTTATTTCTAAAAGGACTCACCCTCTAAAACAATATTTATCTTACAAGCTATGTAATCATTAATTCACCACCTTATAAATACGAGCCGTCAAATATATACTGAAATCCGAACAATAATCGTGCGAAAATTGCTACTAAACATTGTCAATCTTTATAAAGGAGTAGGCCAAATTTTAGTTCCCATAGCAACACAGATGAAGTATACAGTGGCCAGCCTTCATTTGCCACTCATCTTTACTTTGTTTCGTTTATAATAGTTTGTCAAGGTGTATTAGTAAACGTAGTAATGTCTTATTTCGCTTTGGTATGGTTGTTCATCCTAGTAGGGTCCGTATCGGCCACTGACGAGGATATGGCACAGGACAAGAGCCAGGAAACCTTTATAATTTTTGTCTTTTTATCAGTTATTATTCTAATTGTTATCAATCTTGCGGGGATCCTTTTTATTGTGAGCAAACTTCATTTTGTTCAATCTAATTTGTATTTAACTCAGATCAAATTAGAGCAACTTAATCACCATCATGGGTCGGCGTTTGAAGGCCTCGCAAAAAGACTTGGGGATTTTGCCAACGAAATAAGGAAACTTGTGGACGGTACAAAGAACATTCTCATCAAAACAGTGAGCTCCATCAACGAGTTCTCTACAGTTCTACGTCCTATCTTGGCCCTTAAACGTGACGCCAGCACAGATCCCCTGTATTCTGACACCTGGGTGGACCTTGAGTTGGGAAGTTCTGTTCAGACCCCAGTTCAGGGACAATTTATGTGTCAGGATCTGGAGGAGGAGGAACACTTTTACTACTTCTAGGGTTGACGGTCTGGTTAGTAACAATTGCTCCCAATATCAAACTTTCCAAAAATAGATTTTGAAAACTTTATTTTTCGGCACAAATTATGATTGACTGGTCATCACTGGCTAGGAGCTTGAACAAACCTCAAATTTATATTCAGCCCAGTTATTTACCCAAACAAAATATATGAATGGTTGGTTACCACTGCTCAAGGCTAAATTGACATCTAAATTTTCCTAACAACTTTCTACTTTTCGAGATAAATTATGATTGATTGGTCATCACTGGCTAAGAGCTTGAACAAACCTCAAATTTATATTCAGCCCAATTATTTACCCAAACAAAATATCTGAATGGTTGGTTACCACTGCTCCAGGCTAAATTGACATCTAAATTTTCCTAACAACTTTCTACTTTTCGAGATAAATTATGATTGATTGGTCATCACTGGCTAGGAGCTTGAACAAACCTCAAATTTATGTCCAGCCCAATTATTTATTTTTCCTAACAACTTTCTACTTTTCGAGATAAATTATGATTGATTGGTCATCACTGGCTAAGAGCTTAAACAAACCCCAAATTTATGTCCAGCCCAATTATTTACCCAAACAAAATATCTGAATGGTTGGTTACCACTGCTCCAGGCTAAATTGACATCTAAATTTTCTTAACAACTTTCTACTTTTCGAGATAAATTATGATTGATTGGTCATCACTGGCTAGGAGCTTGAACAAACCTCAAATTTATGTCCAGCCCAATTATTTATTTTTCCTAACAACTTTCTACTTTTCGAGATAAATTATGATTGATTGGTCATCACTGGCTAGGAGCTTGAACAAACCTCAAATTTATGTCCAGCCCAATTATTTACCCAAACAAAATATCTGAATGGTTGGTTACCACTGCTCCAGGCTAAATTGACATCTAAATTTTCTTAACAACTTTCTACTTTTCGAGATAAATTATGATTGATTGGTCATCACTGGCTAGGAGCTTGAACAAACCTCAAATTTATGTCCAGCCCAATTATTTATTTTTCCTAACAACTTTCTACTTTTCGAGATAAATTATGATTGATTGGTCATCACTGGCTAGGAGCTTGAACAAACCTCAAATTTATGTCCAGCCCAATTATTTACCCAAACAAAATATCTGAATGGTTGGTTACCACTGCTCCAGGCTAAATTGACATCTAAATTTTCCTAACAACTTTCTACTTTTCGAGATAAATTATGATTGATTGGTCATCACTGGCTAGGAGCTTGAACAAACCTCAAATTTATGTCCAGCCCAATTATTTACCCAAACAAAATATCTGAATGGTTGGTTACCACTGCTCCAGGCTAAATTGACATCTAAATTTTCCTAACAACTTTCTACTTTTCGAGATAAATTATGATTGATTGGTCATCACTGGCTAGGAGCTTGAACAAACCTCAAATTTATGTCCAGCCCAATTATTTACCCAAACAAAATATCTGAATGGTTGGTTACCACTGCTCCAGGCTAAATTGACATCTAAATTTTCCTAACAACTTACTATTTTTCAAGGCAAAACAGTTGACCAAATTTGTAATAACTTTCGATTATTGAGATCTTTTGATACTGCAGGAATTGATTTCAGATAACCTTGAGCGAACATGTAGACTGTAGAGGAGAACAGATGATATAAACTGAATAATAGAATACACTTATCAGATCAGCTGTTTTATTGTGGACAATTATTTTAAATGTCAAGGACTATTGCATCATCAATATTAATATTATCACGTGTGTTGTTGTTTAACTGTGCTTTTGCAGTAGCATTGATTATCGTATCTTATTTTTCTAATCATACATTAGTATATTATACATTGTATATTGTTATTTATTATGTTATTATGAAAAATTCTAAAAAAACTAAAAAATTTTCCAAAAATCTCACTTCAGTGTTTTATTTTCAATGTGCCATATCGCAATGAACTATGTCGTATAAAACTCAACTGGGTATCAAAATTTTAGAAATTGAAAGCACGCTACAAGTTACTCGATTCAATCTGGTGAGGAAGTGTTGCATCGTCAAGAGTTTGAGAAACTGGCCACACTTTCATTTCAGAAATTTCAGTATAAAATTACCCCAAAAACCATACAGGATTGAGTCGATGAGGGTGGCCATTAGCCCGCAGCAAACTAGACAGTTCAACGAAATCCATATCTTGAAGAATGGAAGGCTCGACCCTCCTGATCATTGTGATATTCATCCTCATGCTAGGAAGTGCTGGGCCTGGTCATCATCTTGGTGGGGGCCATGAGAGCGGACAACCGTCTGGCTTGTACCCGGCTCCAACTGACGAACAACAAAATCCGGGAGTTGGAGATTGTGCACGTTCAATTAGTTGAACCACAGCATCTGTGATCTGGGTTCTATTCTATTAAATTTATTTTTCTGTGCAGAAAAATAGCACAGTTCTTTGTATTAATATTATTGAGATGGCGAGTGTGCCATATTGAAATAATTATCAGTTGTCGGCCATCATTATAAGATTAATTTGGTGATACCCAGATCCTTGCTATGAAACACAAGTTGATATGCGTTCAATTTGTATCACTTAATTAGAGTTTATTTGAGACTTGGCCGTACAAAATACTAACGCCACTGAAATGTCTCCATTTTAAAATGATAATAATATGTGTCCAGTATAATTATATATCACATCTATGACCAGAGACGACGCTCCGAGCCTCTATATTACGATTATATTCTAGTAATAGAGTAATAGGATTAATACGAGAGATGATTTGTCAAAAACTCTAATGTTTCAGTGGACAATTTTTCCAGATTTAGATGCTGTGACATTATCTCAATTCTTATGTTTTCAAGTTTTTCTAAGATATATTCGTAACAAAGTATCGTATATACGAATGGCATTATTTGCAAGAGACACGCTAATTATTAATAGTTATGCTCCGTGTTACCATTTGACTGTGACTCAACCTCGCAACCTGCGACTGTAAATGTGAGATGATTTCATTCTGAAATACTATAACATACCTTAATTCTTGTGAGTTTTCTTGAAAAAAAATCACTACACTTTCAGCAGAATTTACGGGCTTTTGAATTCTGCCCAACGTTTGTTCTCGCGAGATGATGAAAGTTACAATCGCCTCATGAAATATCGGGGTCAGTAACTACGATTGAACAGCATCCTTTATAAGCAGCTGAAGAATACTCTACAACTACCAGTTCCTTCGACTAAAGATGCAGAAATCAGTGTTTCTTCAGCTCCTTGCTGTCCTAGCAGTCCTATCGTGGAATCTCGCTGATGCCAAAGCATTTGAAGCAGACAATGAAGTGTTGACGATAGAAAAACGAGATGAGGCTGTTAACGTTGCTCAAGAGGCAAACGATGAAGAAGAGGAAGTCGTGACAAAACGGGAACCAGAAAATCAAGAAGAAGAGGAAGAAGAAATGGAAAAGCGTGATCCAGAAAATCAAGAAGAAGAGGAAGAAGAGGAAGAAGAGATGGAAAAGCGCGATCCAGACAATCAAGACGAAGAAGAAGAAGAAATGGAAAAGCGGGAACCAGAAAATCAAGAAGAAATGGAAGAGCGTGATCCAGAAAATCAAGAAGAGGAAGAAGAAATGGAAAAGCGTGATCCGGAAAACCAAGAAGAGGAAGAAGAAATGGAAAAGCGTGATCCAGAAAATCAAGAAGAAGAGGAAGAAGAAATGGAAAAGCGTGATCCGGAATACCAAGAAGAGGAGGAAAAGGAAGAAAAGCGTGAAACTGAAGATGTTCAGACAGAAAAGACAGTCGAAGAAAAACGTGAGGACACACCGGCTTCTGATAGTGAGGTTTCTGATGTAGAAGATCTTGAGGCAAGAACAGTTCAGGCTCGTTTCACTCTCGTGGATCGCAGAGGTCGAAGGATTAATGGCGAGAGGGAGGGTCTCCTGCTGTTCAATGGTGGAACTGTTTGTGACGACGGCTTCTCAACCAACTCTGCAAATGCGGTCTGCAGGACAATGGGCTACAGGAGTGCAACTCGTTTCAGACATGGCCTCGTCTATGGAACCTTTCAGAGCCGCAAAAGAATTGGTCTAGACGATGTGATCTGTTCTTCTCACCACTGGGCTTCATGCAGGTCGACTACTAGACACAACTGTGTACACAGTGAGGACATCTTGCTGACCTGCCACGGAACCGGCTTCAAGTTGCTCAACAGAGCAGGACATGTTGTGACTGGACAAAGAGAAGGTCTCCTCACCTACCAGCACGGCACTGTCTGCGATGATTACTTCAACTGGAATTCTGCTCACGCCATCTGCAGGGTCATGGGTTACTCCTCTGCCGCCCGTTATAGACACGGTCTGAGATACGGAACCCAGCAGAGCCACAGGGCCATTACCATGGATGATGTGAGGTGCCGATCCAGTTACTGGAACTACTGCTCCTACAGATCTGCCCACAACTGTGTACACAGTGAGGACATCTTCCTGACCTGCAGACCTGGCACCTCACATGCTCACGGCTTCAGACTTGTGGACTGGAGAGGAGCAACTGCTGCACGTGGATGTGAGGGTCTATTGCTATGGAATGGCGGCACTGTCTGCGATGACTACTTCAATATGAACGCAGCTCATGCAATCTGCAGAACCCTGGGATTCAGGTCCGCCACCAGGTACAGGAACGGGCTTGCGTACGGGGCTATGCAGACAAGGAAGACGATCAGGATGGATAACGTGAGATGTACTTCCAGAACCTGGAGCCGATGTCATTACTCTACCACACACAACTGCAATCACGGAGAGGACATCCTGCTCACATGCCATGCTTAGACTGGGGTACAAGAACACGGACACCATGTAACCAAACAGACATATTATCTGGACTACGGACTATCATTATTATTTCATCCAAAAGTTATTTGAATTATTGTGTTAGAAAAAAAGTTATTTTATGAAAAGTATGTGCCCTAATTTGTACTTTATCTAACGTTTTGAATTTTCGAATGGGAAATGAGTATCTATTGAATATTTGTAGTTAATTGATTAAATCCTATCAACCCTCCATTATATAATTAATAATATCAATCTAAGTGTATTTTTGTGTTTGGTGAGGTATTAGAATATATACAAAAAATACAATTTTCGTTGCAGACGTAAAATTTTAAGTGAAAACCTAATCTCACAGTTCATTAGGGACATGTAGATTGAAGTTAATGAAAAAAAGTTTATGATTGATACTTGATAGCAGATTAGATGAAGAAACGCTGCATCATATTTGTATTTCTCGGAAAGTAATTACAAGTTGTTTTTTAAAACCTATCGCTTTTTTAACTTTCCCCGGTTTTAAGAGTGTCAATGGTTGACCACATTGAATCAGCAGCTGGTAAAATTGTTTCAACAAGTATGAGTAGGTACATCATTGTTGCCTGGCAGTATAAATTCTGCAAAAAGCATAATTTGGTTAAATGTAAATATTTTACTTACAGTTGGGCATTGTAGGAGGTGTGCATGTCCTTGATGAAAGTTTTCAACACTTCCACTTCCGCTGGCTTTGAACGTCGTACTTTTATGTTGATGTCCAAGGGTGTTAAAGGCGCCCTAAAATAATGGACTTATTATTGAATAAATTCGATCAGTTAGCATTCATTGCTATGAGCTGAATAAAACGGGAATGGAATTTAGTTGCCAATAATTAACTACTAATCGAACAAAATAGAGTAAGCGTCCAGCAGTGAAAATGTATCCTCCATTTCTGTGGTTATCATTTAGCTCTACTGACCTTGAAAAAGATTTTTTCATTGTCTTCTTGTTTATGATTGGAGTAGAGCACTGAAAATAAATATAAATAAGTATCACTAAATTGATATACCAGCTCTGAGCTCAGTACTTATAATCTATGCAGTAAATCTCAGAAATTTTCAAATTGCATGTTCAAATTTTACAGGATTACTCAAGAAATTGATTTCCTAATTTATCTATTTCCTATCCCTCTAATGGGATTTAACATGCTTAATTTGTTAAAACAAAATCCTGATTGATTGATTGCAAACCACACTCTTCCTTTTCCCAAACTTTGAGTTAAATTGGGGTTTATTGTTCAAGACACATGGATTACAAAAATACTTACCATTGATGGGTCAATGTTCTCCTTCTCTTTAAATCGCATCATCATCTATGAAAGATTATTTTCATCAAAAAATCAGTTCTTACAATAACAAAATAATTCTAGGCTTTTAATAATAATGATTAAAACTTAAATTGAATACTTTGAGGTGTGCCTTATACTAGTCTATTACTGTAATAGAGGCTATTCGCCGATGACTGCATACAATATCACAGCAGAAAGCTAATTAATTTAATTAAATTATTGTAACGTAATAAAGGCAGGATTTCAAATATTACATTGAAGCTAGAACTTACCATGCATATACTAACACACGCCCACATGTTTTACACATTACACACAGGGCCAGGGCCTGTATGTAATGTGTAACAGGCGAAAGCCGAAAACAAACAAAAACTTTTAAAATGACTGAAATAGGACACCACACGTGTATGATCTCAGCCGAGGTGGTGGTTGCCCAAGGGTCCTGATCGTTTAAATTTCCAGTATGTTGATACAATGATGTGCTTTGTAGCATTTGCAAGTAACTGTGTTGATACTGCGCGGCTGAGGCGTCCAGACAAGGATTGGATGCCTCACAACATGATTTCACAAAGATCATGCGTGCGCTTACATTCATACGTTTGAGCAAAATTAGAATTAGAATTAGAATTAGAATCAAATTTACACAGCAATACAATAAGAATAAAAAATAATTTAAGAAGCTTCAATCTGCTGTGCAGGACATTCAAGTCAGTCAAAAACTGTTAGCAGAACACCCTTCTAGGGACATAAGGATATAGCAAGTAAATTGTAAAACAAAATAAGTAATAAATTAATGAGTGGTAAAATAAGATATGATTTAACAGTGAACTGTGGGCATGAAGGTAACAATTAATGTTGAAAATTACATAGATGCCCACTTTGGAATTTCGTAAGTAATATTATTTACAGTTATACACAGAGAAGTATAGAACAACATTAGAATGGCAATGATAACAAATGGGAACGAATAAAGGAGATGTTTAAAGTTCTATACTTCTGAAAATAGGTCATATAACGCAGGGGGCCTTTCCACCCGACAAAAACTCCAGCACCTTAAAAATTGTTTCAGTTGTCACATAGCTAGAGTGTAGAAATAGTCGAAACTATTGTTTATTTCATAGGATGAGACTCCTTGAATTACATCTGACATAAATTTAGATTTCATACATTGTGAGAAATTTACACTACATTCTATAGTCCTTATGTTCTCTGGAATTGTATTCCAACATTTTGCACCTAAATATGTAAAGGTTTTGTGTGTTCTGGATTTGTGAATATAAAGGTTGCACCTCTCAGCATCACGTGATCCTCCGGATACATAAGAAAATTTACCGGTGAATGATGATGGTGCAGCCTCATTAAGAATTTTATACATATACGTTGATAGATGGAGTTGTCGTCTTAAGTGTAAGGGTAACCACTTCATATTTCGATATACATTTACTGATGGTTCCTGCCAATGAACATCCAGTGCAATTTTTGCTACTTTCTTGTATAATATATCAAGAGAATTAAGTCTGGTTTTGGCAGCCCTAGACCATATTATATCCAGGTAGTCAAATTGGGGGAGCATAAGAGCATTTACAAACATTTTTCTATATTTCAGTGGAAGAAGATTTTTCGACCTGTATAATGCCCCTATTCTTTTAGCAATTTTTGATTTCATATAATCAATATGGTCTTGAAAGTTCAATAAATTGTCTATCATGAGACCTAAATATTTTTGAGATTTAGTTTCTTCTATAAAAAGGCATTCTTTTTCCAAATCCAGAGGGATTGACAACGTGTCCAGATTAGGATATCTATCAAATACAATGAATGAAGATTTTGCAGCATTTAGTCTCAGCTTGTTGTTTCTAAGCCATTCATACACAATTTTTATATCCTTAATTACATTTTCATATATGCTTCGGGAAATGTTATCAAAATATAGTGCTCTGTCATCTGCAAATAAGTAAACAGTAGATTGTGTGCAATTTCTACTGAGATCATTTATGAATAAACTAAATAGAATTGGTCCTAATATGCTACCCTGTGGCACACCTGTTTTAACAGGGAGTGATGTGCTTACATTACCACGTATTTTGGTGTGCTGCTTTCTGTCCCCAAGGTAGCTTTTGAACCACTTTATGACAAAGCCATCAACTCCATAATACTTAAGTTTTTTCAATAAAATATTATGGCTTACTGTGTCAAAGGCCTTTTTAATATCTAAGAATACAATTGCAGGTTTCTTCTGTGATTCCTTAGACGTAAATATTTTATCAAATAGATTAAGCATTAGAAAAGTGGTGGAATGATCTTTTCTAAATCCATACTGATTGTTGGTAAGTAGTTTATTTGTTTCAACATACTCTGTGAGCTGTTGGTTAACAAAATATTCTATGCATTTTCCAAGTAGGGGGAGTATGGATATTGGCCGGTAGTTATTTGGATCATTAGGGTCACCAGTTTTAAGAATTGGAGTGACTGATGCAATTTTACATGCCAACGGCATTGTTCCACTTTTCATACTAAGGTTTATAATATGAGCTACTGGATCGATGATTTGGGGAATAATATACTTATATACTTTAATAGGCATGATATCGTTAATAGATTTATCTGATGGTATACTGAGTATATATTCTTTTACTTGTTCAACAGTCACCTCTTCGAATACAGAGAGTTTACACTCTGGTGGAGGCGGCATATATTCTAGAAAGTCGTCTGAATCCTTTTCCTTAATTGATTCTTGTAATATTGTACCAACTTTGGCAAAATGCAGGTTAACTCCGTTAACATTTAAGTTGCTTGGGGAAGAACTACTTATTTTTCCAGGTAAGTTTGAAGCATGTTTGATAGTTTTCCAAATACCTTTCAAATCGTTTTTTGCACTTTTCACAGTAAGGTCCTGAACAATATTTGTACGTCTGTTTTCTTTGGATAATTTTGTCACATAGTTTCTTTGGGGACGATAGTTATCCCACGAAGTAGAGCATTTCTTATGTAGTTCACTTTTTCTGCAGTTACATATTCCATTAATACACTTACACTTGAATTTGTTTAATTGTCCTAAACACTTTTTATACTTTCTGAAAAGCATCTTCTTCTTCCGTATTTCTGCCAACAGTACTTTAGAGGGATTACAAAGAAAGTTACTATTACATTTAATCTGTTTAGGTGGACAGTAATTATCATACGATTCCTGGATGTGATGATTAAGTCCATCTAGCGCATGGTCTACATTAGTACAGCTTAGAATATTACTGTAGTTACTGCAGGATCCCAGAAAATAGCTTAAGGCTTTTAGATTGTTTAAGGAGTGGTCTCTGATAAGGACCTTCTGGAACTTACTAGCTTTATTTACTTTAAAGTCGAGAACACATTTAAGAGCTTGGTGATCTCCTATTCTATCATCAAGTACTTTACACTCTATGAAATTAGAGTAACAGTTAGTCATTACAACATCTATTGTGCTCTGCGTTATTCTACCATCTAAGTTTGCAACTCTAGTAATTCCTGTAACAGTCTGTATCATTCCAAAGAGCTTCATTGTTATATCTAACTTTTTATAATCTAGATCAGATAAAGAGTTTTGGTTAACATTAACATCGCCAATCCATATTACTTTCTTACCTTGAAGTTTCATCATACATTCAGTCATATAATCAAGGAAAGTATCTAGATGACAAAAGTTTTGTGATCTGTAGAAGCAGCAAATGTAAAGATTGGCGTCCTTGAGTTGTATCCATATAGCTTCAATTTTAGAAATATCAGAGTAGGTTATATCTAAATTGAGTAATTTGTGGTTAACATTTTGGTTGATCAATATACCACACCCTCCTCTTCCTCTATCGTTAGGTCAATCACACCTTATAAAATCCAAGTTTAAGGGGAAGGGGGGTGATGCAACGTCAATTAATGTCTATTAATGTCAATTAATGTCAATTAAT